TATTATCTGTATATATGGTGTAGATACATATATATGGGGCACAAAAATGATAAAGCAATAGGGCAAAATGTTATCAACTGGTGAATTTGGGTCAAGAGTATGCGAGTATATGCTGCACTATTCTTTTTTTTTTGAGACAGTTTCACTCTTGATGCCCAGGCTGGAGTGCAATGGCGTGATCTCAGTTCACTGTAACCTCTGCCTCCTGGGTTCAAGCGATTCTCCTGCCTCAGCCTCCTGAGTAGCTGAGATTATAGGCATGCGCCACCACGCCTGGCTAATTTTGTATTTTTAGTAGAGACGGGGTTTCTCCATGTTAGTCAGGCTGATCTTGAACTCCTGACCTCAGGTGATCCTCCTGCCTCGGCCTCCCAAAGTGCTGGGATTACAGGCGTGAGCTACCATGCCCAACCAGGTTGTACTATTCTTGTAATTTAATTTCAAAATGTGTTGTTCGAAAAGTGCAATAGTGGGTCAGGCACAGTGGTTCACGCCTGCAATCCTAGCATTTTGGGAGGCCAAGGTGGGCAGATCACGAGGTCAAGAGACCAAGACCATCCTGGCCAACATGGTGAAACCCGTCTCTACTAAAAATACAAAAATTAGCTGGGTATGTTGGCGCTTGCCTGTAGTCCCGGCTACTCGGGAGGCTGAGGCAGAAGAATCACTTGAACCTGAGAGGCGGAGGCTGCAATGAGAGATAGTGCCACTGCACTCCATCCTGGGCGACACAGCGTGACTCCATCTCAAAAAAAAAAAAAAAAAAAAAGTGCAATAGCTCCCGACATTGGTGAAGAATATAAATCTAGTGCAGTTGCACAATCTCAACTCACTGCAGCCTCCACCTCCTGGGTTCAAGCGATTCTCCTGCTTCAGCCTCCCAAGTAGCCGGGACTACAGGTGTGTGCCACCACACCTGTCTGATTTTTTGTGTTTTTAGAAGAGACGGGTTTTCACTGTGTTGGCCAGGCTGGTCTTGAACTTGTGACCTCAAGTGATCCGCCTGCCTCAGTTTCCCAAAGTGCTGGCATTACAGGTGTGAACAACCATGCCCAGCCTCTAGCTACCTCTTAATCACTTATCTTGAGGTCACACTTTACTGGGACCTCTGGAGAGCTTATAAATGATGCCCCCACTCTTATGAAGTTTAACATCTCTTGAGGAGGGAAGTCCCCCAATAAGCAGCAGAGAAGATTATGTAAATTCAACTAGGGGCTGGACTCGGTGGCTTATGCCTATAATCTCAGCACCATGGGAGGCCAAGGTGGGCGGATCTCTTGAGCTCAGGAGTTGGAGACCAGCCTGGCAATTTGGCGAAATCTTGTCTCTACAAAAAAATACAAAACATAGCTGAGCATGGTGGTGCGCACTTGTAGTCTTAGCTACTCAGGAGGTTGAGGTGGGAGGATCGCTTGAGCCCAGGAGGTAGTGGTGGCAGTGAGCCGTGATCATGCCACTGCATTCCAGCCTGGGCGATGGAGTGAGACGGTGTTTAAAAAAAAAAAAAAAAAAAAGGTTCAACTAGGAAGTTTGAAAATGGAGAAGAGATCAGGAATCAGGATAGGTGGATGAGATCAAGAAAGTCTTCAAAGTAGGACCTGAGCCTTGAAGGTAGGATTTAAATCAGTAGATGATATTTCAGACGGAGTCAATGAACAGTTTGTGCAACTCAGGGAGAGGTTTGTGCAGAGATGGAATAGACTGGACAGAGAACGAATATTGGGAAGTGTTGGCAAACATGGTTGAGTAGATACAAGGGGCCAGTCTGCAAGTTCCCCAAGGGCAGCATCTAACTAGATCTCATGAAAAAGATTTAATTAAGCCCGGGGGCAGTGGCTCACCCCTGTAATCCCAGCACTTTGGGAGGCCGAGGCGGGAGGATCATTTGAGGTCAGGGATTAGAGACTAGCCTGGCTAACATGGCAAAATCCGTCTCTACTAACAATACAAAAATTAGCCGGGTGTGGTGGCGGGCCAGAGACTACAGGCCCGCGACACCAGGCTAGTTTTGGTTATGTTTCTTAATGGCTGGGAAAAAATTGCTGGGTGCAGTGGCTCATGACTATAATCCCAGCAGTTTGGGAGGCTGAGGTGGGTGAATCGCTTGAGCTAAAAAGTTTGAGACCAGCCTGGGCAACATGAGGAAACCTGTCTACAAAAGATACAAGAATTAGCGGGGCATTGGGGCGCACTCCTGTAGTCCCAGCTCCTTGGGAGGCTGAGGCAAGAGGATTGCTTGGGCCCAGGTGCTCGAGGCTGCAATGAGCTATGACTATGCCACTGCACTCCAGCCTGGATGAAGAGTGAGACCCTGTCTCCAAAAATAAAATAAAATAAAGTAAAAATAAAAAGAATAATTCAGGATATGTGAAATTCAAATCATGCATCCATAAGTGAAGTTTTAGTGAGCACAGCCATGCTCAACCTCTTACATATTATCTATGGCTGCTTTTGTGCTACAGTAACAGTTGAATAGTTGCAGAGATCATATGGCCTGCAAAGCCTAAAACATTTATCAGCTGGTGCTTTACAGAAGAAGTTTGCAGCTGGGCGCGGTGGCTCACGCCTATAATCCCAGCTCTTTGGGGGGCCGCGGTGGAAGGATCACTTGAGCCCAGGAGTTTAAGACCAGACTGAGCAACAGCCAGACCCCAGTCTCTACTCACCCTCCTCCAAAAAAAAATTAAAAATAATCTGGGCGTGGTGGCACGAGCCTGTAGTCCCAGATACTCAGGAGGCTGAGGTGGGAGGATTGCCTGAGCTCAGGATTTCGAGGCTGCAGTAAGCTGTGATTGCACTACCACGTTCCAGCCTGAGCAACACAGTGAGATCCAGTCTCAAGGAAAAAAAAAAAGTTTGCTCACTCCTGACCTAAAGCAATGGTTGTCCACATGGGGCGATTGTGCACAGGGAACATTTTGGCAATGCTTGGAAACATTTCTGGTTGTCACAACTGTGGAGGGTGGGGAGGGCATCCTACTGATATCTAGTTAGTAGAGGCCAGGGATGGTGCTAAATATTCTTTTTTTTTTTTTTTTTTTTTTTTTTTTGAGATGGAGTCTCGCTCTGTGGCCCAGGCTGGAGTGCAGTGGCGTGATGTTGGCTCACTGCAACCTCCGCTTCCCGGGGTCAAGCAATTCTCCTGCCTCAGCCTCCTGAGTAGCTGGAATTACAGGTACGTGCCACCACACCCAGCTAATTTTTGTATTTTTAGTAGAGACAGGGTTTCACCTTCTTGGTCAGGCTGGTCTCGAACTCCTGACCTGGTGATCCACCCACCTCAGCCTCCCAAAGTGCTGGGATTACAAGCGTGAGCCACCGCGCCCAACCCTAAATATTCTTTAATGCACATGACAGCCCTCCAGATGTTTGGTCCCAAATGTCCATAGTACTGTGGTTGAGAAACTCTGGATTATAGGACTCTAAGGTGAGTACTTTCTTTTTTTTTTTTTCTTTTTGAGACAGAGTTTTGCTCTGTTGCCCAGGTTGGAGTGCAATGGCATGATCTCGGCTCACTGCAACCTCCGCCTTCCAGGTTCAAGCAATTCTTCTGCCCCAGCTTCCCCAGCAGCTGGGATTACAGGTATGTGCCACCACCCCTGGCTGATTTTTGTATTTTTAGTAGAGACAGGGTTTCGCCATGTTGGCCAGGCTGGTCTCGAACTCCTGGCCTCAAGTGATCCACCCGCCTCGGCCTTCCAAAGCGCTGGGATTACAGGCGTGAGCCACCACGCCCTGCCAGATGAGTACTTTCTAGTACAGGGAAAACTCAGTCCTTAACAAGGGAGCCCATTGACTGAACGCCCAGGTCTTTAACTTACATTAGCTCAGGTAGCCTTCACAATGACCATGGCAAGGCAATCACTGATGTCCTCCTTTTCCGGAGACATTTTATTAAATTTTTATTTTATTTATTTATTTTTGAGACGGAGTCTCACTCTGTCGCCCAGGCTGGAGTGCAATGGCGCGATTTCAGCTCACGGCAACCGGGTTCAAGCGATTCTCTTGCCTCATCCTCCGAAGTAGCTGGGATTACTGGCATGCACTACCACACCCAGCTAATTTTGTATTTTTAGTGGAGACGGGGTTTCTCTAGGTCGGTCAGGCTGGTTTCGAACTCCTGACCTCAGGTGATCTGCCCGTCTTGCCCATAGCTCGCAAGTCTGTAGGGCTCCAGGGCTTGTAATTTTCCATAACACCTCAGTGCCTGCCTCTGCTCAGTGACATCACAAACGTCACAGACGTATTGTCTCACTCGGTTGTCCCCTAGTGTGTGAGCTGCACAGAGCCAGGCCTATATACGTGGAATATACGTGGATACTTTCTGAAGCCTCCAGGCCTCCATAAGGAAAGGATGCGTGCCCTGATGTCCGCACCCTGGCCCTTAGGCAAGCAAAGTTGAGGAAAGTTTGTTTTCCTAAGGGCCACCAGAGTTCTTTAAAGTGACAACTCTCTCTCTTGCCCACTTTAGTGCTTGGGAGGATGGGAGGCTCCGCTCTCTAGTAGGCCCAGGACACAAAATACTCCTTAGTATCTATAGAATGCTTTTTGAGTGATGAAGAATAGTCATATCCATGAATTTGGGGGGATGCTCACATCACAGGAGTAAATGAGAGAAGACACGTGGTGCAGAGTTCTTTTCCTGCCAGAATTAAAACTCACCTGAATCTTGTTCCGTAGGCTCTGGCACTCTACTTTCTCCATCTAATATACTAGATGATAATCAGCTCAACTTAGTTAAATCCATGCTAATAAAGAAAAAGTAGAGGACTTCCTGCACACCTCCACCCCAGGTGGTGGGAATTTCAGGCCCAGATGGAAGAAAGTTGGAGGGGGCGGGCACAGAGGATGGCAACCCACCTAGGAAGATTTCATAGGCTGACGGTGCCTCCCTGAGCCCTTCAAATCACCCATTCGGAAGGCAGCCACCCACTCCTCCTCAGGCAAACCGTGGTGGGCCGCATCACCCAGTGACTTAAGATCAGACCACACAGCCATTCAGCATTTCTTTGAATTTTATTGAAAATTGACACGGACATTAGAAAGGTAGTAAGCTAAACAGTGCTGGTTCTGGGATGTTTCTCCTGGAGAATGAAAGCCCCAGAGGGGCAGTGACTGGTCACACCTTTGAGCAAAAAGAACAAAGGAGAAGAAAGGAAAAACACACACAGATTCTGGAAAACATGCAAAGAGGCTCTCTCAAGAGACACTGAACAGCAGAATGGTGGTGATGATGGTAGGGATCTATGAGAATGAGCACACTCACATGGTATTTTGATGCAAGTTAAACCAATGAATTCAAGGCAATTTTACCAACATCAAAGCTCTCCCTCCAGATCCCAGGTTGAGCAGAAACCTCTCTCAAAACCCCAACTGGTCTCAGAAGGTGGAATGGAGTAATTTTGCCCTCACTAAGCTTAAACCCCCTCCCTTCTCTCCCTTCTCCACCTGAGTGTTAGATAGTGGACACATTTTTCCCCTTTGCTGGAATCTATAGAAGGTCTGTGAATGCTGAAGAAGATAAAAATGTCACTTGACTTTCTCTTCCATATTCAGAAATGTTTTAACAGTGGCCGTAGACAGTCAACCCATCGAACCAGAGAAATGTTTAAAAAAGAAAAACACAAAACGCAAACAAAACCTTGTGAACAGAACAGTACTTCCACACCCACAGCTGAAGTGTCCTGCCCCAGTCACTTACACTTGGGTGAGTGGTCCTGTAGTTGTTTCTCTGAGGTTACATTTGGTCCATTTTCCAGCTCTGATGGTTCTTTTCCTGCCTTGTTAGTTAGGACAAGACACTTCCATTTAAAATACCATGTGAGTCGGGAAGAGAGCTTCTTGCCTGGACACAGGGACACATGAATACTTGTTGGGTGGTGTGGCGTATGTGTGTGTGCTTGCAGTTTGAGGGGAGAGGGAATTGGCTGATTTCTGATTTGAGACAATATGGAACCCTAACTCTTCTATAATGGCAGTCTTCTCCTTTAGACTTAGTGCAGCTGCTGAAGACAAGATTAAAAAAAGCTGGAGAGGGAGAGAGAAAGAGAAAGAAAACATGAGATTAGCCAAAGAAAGAGGACATTCAAAGTAAGACAGGGGGAGGGGAATGGGCAGTACTGAGGTAGCACAGATTATAGTTTGAGAAGACAGGTTAGAAATGGGGGTCACTGTTGGGCCATCACCACGGGGAAATCTGCTGAGAAGGTTTTAAGAACACCACACACCAGTTTAAAGCTTCTTGTTTTAATTAAAAACAAGCACATTATTAACAGCCACATGTGAATGCCAAATGATTAAAACAAAAAAACAAAAACAAGAGCCATCTACACTGCAGCTAGGGAAAGCAAACTTCTTGGCTTAGGAGAAGTGAGGGATGTGTGTACGTGTGTGTGTGTGTGTATTTCAGAAAAGCCACTCCAGTCTGGGAAAATAAAAGCACAGACCATTGCTAATGACTGGTTTTGTTTCACCAGAAGTAAACAGAGTACTTAGGGTATTTTTTTTAAAAATAGTAACAGTTGTACTAATTTTTTGTTGTTGTTGAGACGGAGTCTCGCTCTGTCGCCCAGGCTGGAGTGCAGTGGCCGGATCTCAGCTCACTGCAAGCTCCGCCTCCTGGGTTTACGCCATTCTCCTGCCTCAGCCTCCCGAGTAGCTGGGATTACAGGCGCCCGCCACCTCACCTGGCTAGTTTTTTTGTATTTTTTTAGTAGAGACGGGGTTTCACTGTGTTAGCCAGGATGGTCTCGATCTCCTGACCTCGTGATCCGCCCCTCTCGGCCTCCCAAAGTGCTGGGATTACAGGCTTGAGCCACCGCGCCCGGCCTAGTTGTACTAATTAAAACACCTTTTCATTGAAGAAGGAAAAAATCTTTCTGTCTACAGTGAATAAAGCCACCCAATGAAATACCCATTTTAATGGGCTTGATCAACTTTTTAATTTATGTTCACTCATGGGTTTGATTTTTGTTTACCAAACTTCCCTGATTATAATGGTCACCTAGGGCACCTGTTACACACAGTCTCCCGGAGCCCGTTCCAGCCTTGCAGCATCACTGGGTTAAGGAGCTGGCCCAGCATGCCTTCATTTTGCCAGCCCTCACCCAATCCATCTTCAGATGTTTTTCTGTGGGAAAAAACCTCGAGGGTCTTCTAATACTAACTATTCAGTTACTCTGAACATCAAAAGGCCTCGTATCCAGGAACGTATGTAAACAGATTGAATCCCTTTGTGAAATGGATTGGGAGTCAGGAGGCATGAAAATTAGTCTGGCTTCTGCCTGGAAACAGCACTGGGACCTTGCTCAAGTCCCTTCCCTTCTCTGGGCCTTCATTTCCCCTTACGGAGTAACTAGGTTATATCGTCTTACTGACTAAAATGTCTCCCTTAATATAAAAGTCCTCTTTAGTTTCTGAAGGTCTCTCCAAGGCTGTGTGGGTCTAATACTTTCGAAGTATTCAGAGCTTCTCAAGCCTTAAGTAGTTAATCGGTACAGAAATGCAAATGAGGGCGCCTCCGGTTTGTAATGCAAATAATTACCGGGCGGCGGGGTCGGGGGTGGTGATTACCAGTTGGTTTTTTAAGCGTGAATTTCTGGGAAAGCAGCTCTGAAGCTGGACATAGAATCATCAAAGTTGCAAATACGAAGCCTTTCCCAGGGAGACCTGACAGGCCTAACTCAGCATCTCTCTGAGCTACTGGCTGAGTATCTGAGCAGATTTTTTTTTTTTTTTTTTTTTGGTTGTTGGTTTGTTTCTACCTCCAAGCATATGGTCTTCAAAACAATACTCCACCATAACTTGAATTTTCCCAAGAAACTGGCTTGTGCTCTGGCAGCATCACCTTTATACTTGCTCTGGTCACTCACCAATCAGCAGAGCACCAGACGGTACACAGCAAACCTACACTCTTGCTTTGCCAACAAAAAAAAAGGAAGTACGTGCATATGTTTGCTTTTCATTTTTTTCCTTTTGCTTCCTACTATGATCTATAATCGAAGCGAGAAATCCCCTTCCCCTTCTCAATACTTCAAAAAGGCCTGGAAATTTGGCATAACCTTGTTTGACTGTGTGCTTTGAAAGTAAGTGATCAAAAAAAGAAACTCTAAAAAAAAAAAAAAAAAAAAGAAGGCGGTCATGGTCAGTGCCAGTGGGGCTGGGAGGCAGAAGCAAGTTGCGGAACTCAAAAAGAAGTGAGCTTGAAGTACATGGCAGGGTAGGGGTGGGGGGCCTGGCTGCCTGGCACCCCAAAGGAAAGCTGTCAGTTAAAATAGAAACCTCGGCTTAAAAGGCTAAATGGAGTCCAGTCCAGCTGTAGCGGGGAATACTATTCAGTACACAGCCATGGATTACTGCAAAGGAAGGGCAGAGAGACGGCACGTTAGCCACAGATCATTGCCAGGTCAACTCCATCTCTCACACTGTCACAGGCCAAACACCAAAGGCCACTGTGCCTCATAACCCTGACAAGGGAGGGCTCCCTACTTCACAGAGGTTCCCAAAGCCACTATCAGATGGGACCCATGATAAAAAGTAGGGCTGGAATATTTTTAAACTCTCAACTCCTTAAATTGGAAAGCAAGTTAAGGGCCTTCCAAGGTGTAACACCTCTTTTCTTCTCTCCAGCTGATAGTCTCATCTCTTCTTATTGAGGGATGCATGCAAAATGCATGTTAAAAATCATCATGACATTCACCAAATGAACTACAAGACTCATTAGAGCAAACCCCCAAACACTTGATTCTTTTGACAGCTCAGTTTTCCAGTCTACAAAGTGGGATTTATTATTCCTGCTACTGGCCTCACCTTATTGGGACAGTATGGAGCCCTTCCGGAAATTACCCCTGAGATGCTGAAATACCTCACAAGAAGAACTCAGTAAGGCTATCATTCAAGACTCTAGGCTGGTAATAATATGTAGGTTTATTCTCCCTTTTGCATCTGTGGGATACCCAGAGTTAGAGAGAGGGGAAACGTCTGCTATTTTTCCAGCAGTTGTGTTTTATGGGAAGGGCTTGGTGTAAATAAATGCGTTACAGATTTTGAGCACAGCTTGAGTGCAGTTACTTCGAGTGAATGAAAACTGGAAAGGGCTGGACTCAAAGGTTAGACGGAAAAGGCGCCAAAGGCTCTCCTTTTGAAACTCTCTAAGAAGTGGCTGCGGCTCCTGAGGATGAGGGTGGGGTGGGCCAGGGAAGACTAGTGACTGGGATACAGGAGACCAAGGGAGCAGCTGTGCTTATTGGTGCTTACCCAGCCATGGTGGATGCAAATACCTCAGGGAAAACTAACAGCAACCAGAACTGAAACAGGGGAGCTGCTGGGGAAGAGTAGCAGATGGGCCCCCTGACCATGTCACACCTCTGGCAAAGATGTGGGGGAAGACAGGGGGGATGGCTGGGGGTGCTGGGAGGGGGACTGGGATGCAGGATGCATCTGCGAGCCACATGACTGTTGGCTTCTTGACCAGCGGCCAGACATCGCCCTCAGATTCTCAGGTTTCTATAAACCTTGGCAGGAAGAGAGGAGAGGGCCCGGGTTGGACTGTATGCCCCCCAGGCATGTTAAGGGGGAAGTTAGAGAAAGGGAGGCCCAGCTCTGTTGCGCAGGAAAAGGGTGTCTACAGGAAGCCCAAACTGAAAATGAAAAGAGAAGCTGAGTTAATGAATGGATAGATTAATGTACAAAAAAAAAGAAAAAAAAGTCAGAAGAAAATTAAGTCATGAGGACTAATGGCTAAATTAGAATTTAGCTATGTTAGATGGTCTTAAGGTCTTATTGCATTGGCTCCAGGGAACATGCTTTCTCTCTAATACACTCCGCACACACTCCCACATGATGGCAGCAGTGGCATTAGCCAGCAAAATAATGATCAACAACCACAAAAATACGTTTTATCTCTCTTTTTTTTTTTGAGATGGAGTTTCAGTCTTTCACCCAGGCTGGAGTGCAGTGGCGCGATCTTGGCTCACTGCCACCTCCATCTTCCAACTTCAAGCGATTCTCCTGCCTCAGCCTCCCGAGTAGATGGGATTACAGGCACTTGCCACCATGCCCAGCTAATTTTTGTATTTTCGGTAGAGATGGGGTTTCACCATGTTGGCCAGGCTGGTCTCGAACTCCTGACCTCAAGTGATCCGCCCGCCTCAGCCTCCCAAAGTGCTGGGATTATTGGTGTGAGGCACTGAGCCCGCCCTATCTCTTCTTAATGACTAGGTCCTGACTAATGTCTCCCCTCCCCGGCCCCCAAACCACCACCTAATACCTTGTACAGGAATACCTTCTGCAAATCTCTAAGTGGCCTCAGGCCGCTGGATAGAGCCCCAGGCTCTAGTCACTGCATTTCCTGTCCCATAAGGAAAGCAGAGGAGGCTGAGGTTTCACCGCAGGAGGCCCTCAGAGCTGTCCTAGTCAGCTAACTGGTACTCCGGGGCAAGACCTGTTTGGAGAGCGTATGAGGATGGTTGCTGGTTGCTGAACTCTGCTCTAGGGTCCAGACCACAGTTAACTGAAAACATGAACTATGGAAACCCATCATTGGTTTGTAGTTAAATAATACTTTCACCTCTCTTCCAGGTAAGTTTCATTCCTGTGACAAATATACAGCAAGTAGGACTGATCCCCATTATACATATGAGTAGACCGAGAAACACAGAGAAGTCAATAGACTTGCCTGTGGCCGCAAAAGAGTCACAGCTGGGCCCAGAGCTGGTGTGTGTGTGTGTGTGTGTCTGTGTAGTTTTATTTTTATTTCTTTTGGGACGGAGTCTTGCTCTGTCACCCAGGCTGGAGTGCAATGGTGCGATCTTGGTTCACTGCAACCTCCGCCTCCCAGGATCAAGCGATTCTCCTGCCTCAGCCTCCCAAGTAGCTGGGATTACAGGCGCCCGCCACCATGCCCGTCTAATTTTGTATTTTTAGTAGAGACGGGGTTTCACCATGTTGGCCAGGCTGGTCTCGAACTCCTGACCTCAGGTGATCCGCCTGCCTCGGCCTTCCAAAGTGCTAGGATTATAGGCATGAGCCTCCGCGCCCGGCGCCAGAGCTGTTGTTTATTTAAGACTATCACATGTAATGTCCCTGAGAATTCCTTGGCTATGGATCTAAGCCCCTATTTATTACACGAAGAATAAATTTATCCCATTAAATAAAGACTATTAGATATCTGTCAGGGATAGAAGTATGGGCATAAATGAGTATGTTTTACAGTCACTTCCTCAAAGGGAATATACTCCCATACATACACTTTGAAGGTATACACACGCTGAGGTGAATGGTCATTTATATCAGAAATTAGGAGTTCTGCCACCAACTCACCGTGTGGTCCTTGGTAAATTCCTTAAATTCTCTGCTCCTCCATTTACTCTCTCTCTCTCTTTTTTTTTTTTTTTTGAGATGGAGTCTTGCTCTGTTGCCCAGGCTGGAGTGCAATGGTGTGGTCTCAGCTCACTGCAACCTTCACCTCCTGGGTTCAAGCGATTCTCCTGCCTCAGTCTCTAGAGTAGCTGGTATTACAGGCACCTGCCACCACGCCCAGCTAATTTTTATATTTTTAGTAGAGATGGGGTTTCACCATGTTGGCCAGGCTGGTCTCAAACTCCTGACCTCAGGTGATCTGCCCACCTTGGCCTCCCAAAGTGCTGGGATTACAGGCGTGAGCCACCATGCCCGGCCAACTCTCTTTAAAACAAAACAAAACAAAAAAATAGAGACGGGGTTTCACCATGTTGCCCAGGCTGGTCTCCAATTCCTGGGCTCAAGTGATCCTCCCACCTCAGCCTCCCAAAGCGCTAGGATTACAGGAGTGAGCCACCTCACCCAGCCTCCATTTACTCATCCTGCAAACTGGGGATTATTCCTTCTCTACCTCACAGACCTGTTGTAAGTATAAAATGAGATACCATACCAAAAAACCCCAAAAACCAAAAAAAAGAAAAACAACAACAACAAAACCACTTTGGAAAGTAATATAAGCTATACAAATGCTCATATCTTATTTTTATTCTTTGTCTACTTCCTAGGGGAAGAGTAACCTAAAAAACACTGCAATGGCCTCTGTTCTAGGTATCATGGGAAGGCTGATATATTTTGATGTGTGTATACTGTCCATATACTGTGCACTCCTAAGGACCAATAACGACTGAGATAGAGTATCTGCAACTATGTGGGGGGTCACAAATGAATCGCTTTTACAACAGAGAGCTATAAGTAGCGCCTCAAGCAATTTCAAAATGTGGAGACACAGTAAGCCTCACTCTGCCTGCATTCTAGGTGGCTTTTGTGATCCACCCCTTGAATGAGGGCTTTGAGGAGGGGGCGGGCTGCCTTTGCTGCTTTCAGATCCTGGGGGGGCCAAAGCCTCCCGTGACCAAGCAGTTGGTCTGGAACTGCTTTCGTGGTCTGCCAGGGAGAAGCCTGCCAGGAAGAGCCAACCTCCTTGGGGTTGGGGTTGGCTGTTCCAGCTGTTTACCAATTGCCTCTCACTTGTAAAGTGTAGCTTTAATTATAGTTTTGCCAGAATTCGTTTTAGGAATGGCCACTAACAATGATTTACTTGGGGAAACCTGTATGCAATTGTGTCAAGCCATGTGCCGTGAAACCTGAATTAACTGAAATCTCATTAACTAGAATACATATTTCCTGCTCACCTCATTAAAAATGGGGGAACAAAGAACATAACACATGAACCAAGTTCCTATTACATGTCAGACACTTCGCTAGGCACTGGAACCACATACAGTGCAAGGAATGGACAGACATTCTAGGAACTGTCTTCCTAGATGGAAATCTGCTGTTTAATTCCAATCAACTAGCAGGGGCTCCAAGACTTGCTGTAAAAGCCAGACAGTAAATCAAGTCATTGTTCTTTTAAGATTGTTTCCTTTGGCCCGGTTTCATGGGCCTTATGTTGCAGAAACCGCTATGGACTTCCTATTCAGGATTTGCTTCCAAGCAGGATGTTTTGCCAGCTGCCCTGAGTCCCCAGTGCAATAGCTGCGGCAATCAGTTTGGTGACTAACAGCAGGTTCTCCATTTAAATCATAAACTACATGGGTGAGTGGGGAAAAGTCTTTTCTATATTTTATATTCCCCGATCCAAACAAACCAAATGTAAAAGGGCATTTATGAGACAACCGGGATGTTTCAAACACTGACTAGACATTTCATGTTAATGAATTATTGTTCATTTTGTAGGTGTGATAATGGTGGGGTTGTGGTTATGTTTTTTTTAAAGAATCGTTATCTCTTGGAGATATATACTAAAGTATTCACAGATAAAAGGATATAGTTTTGCTGTATAATAATTCAGCAGGTCTGTGGTAATTGATGAAACAAGACTGGGCATATGTTTATGGTTGTTTGGGGGCTGGGCTCTGGGCTGAACTGTATTATTCTCTCCTATTTTGCTCATGTTTTAAAGTTTCCATGGTAAAGTTTAAAAAAAAAATAACCCTTAGTTGGGCGCGGTGGCTCACGCCTGTAATCTCAGCACTTTGGGAGGCCAAGGTAGGCAGATCACCTGAGGTCAGGAGTTTGAGACCAGCCTGGCCAACGTGGTAAAACCCGCTCTCTACTAAAAATACAAAAATTAGCCAGGAATAGTGGCACATGCCTATAATCCCAGCTGCTTGGGAGGCTGAGGCATGAGAATTGCTTGAACCGGGGAGGCGGAGGTTGCAGGGAGCTGAGATTGTGCCACTGCACTCCAGCCTTGGCGACAGAGTGAGACTCTGTCTCAAAAAAAGAAACAAATGGAAATAACCCTAATTATGTTAAATTAAAATGTTTGTATTTCCTTTCCATCCACTACCTGAGTCTAGTAGAGGAGATAGAAGGTCCTTAATCCCTGCTTTCAGTCTCTCTATAAACTATGTGATACTTTATAAACTTTTATTAATACAACATCTAGCACTGAGGAATCCTTACCTGCTGATCTCCTTATAAGAGATTTTCATGAGGCCAGTACTTGTAGGATTAAATGTAAGGAATTCTCTGTAATTTCTAAGATCTCTTCATTTTCCTCCACTTTTATTATAGGTTTTTGTTTTGTTTTTTGAGACGGAGTTTCACTCTTGTTGCCCAGGCTGGAGTGCAATTGCGTGATCTAGGCTCACCGCAACCTCTGCCTCCCAGGTTCAAGCGATTCTCCTGCCTCAGCCTCCCGAGTAGCTGGGATTACAGGCATGCACCACCACGCCTGGCTAATTTTGTATTTTTACTAGAGACAGGGTTTCTCCATATTGGTCAGGCTGGTCTCGAACTCCCGACCTTAGGTGATCCACCCGCCTCGGCCTCCCAAAGTGCTAGGATTACAGGCGTGAGCCACTGCTCTCAGCCTTATTATGGTTTTGAGGGGTACAGTCAAAGGAAATTTGAGAACTTGAACCCCTCAGATAAGAAACTGCCACTAGCAGGAAACAGAGAAGTGAGTTCCCATTGACTCTGGACATTCTCAAACCTGATGCAGGGAGATGGGAGAAGGCTGATGCTGACTGTGACATTGCAGGACAGGGCTTATGAAACCCAAAGTTTCTCTCATCACTATGGTTTCATTAATTTTGAAAATGATGGTTATAGCTCCTTTTGTTTTTGAGATGGAGTTTCACTCTTGTTGCCCAGGCTGGAGTACAATGGCGTGATCTCGGCTCACTGCAACCTCCGCCTCCCAGGTTCAAGTGATTCTCCTATCTCAGCCTCCCAAGTAGCTGGGATTACAGGCCTGTGCCTCCACGCCCAGCTAATTTTTTTTGTATTTTTAGTAGAGATGGGGCTTCACCATGTTAGCCGGGATGGTCTCAATCTTCCGATCTCAGGTGATCTGCCCTCCTCGGCCTCCGAAAGTGCTGGGATTACAGGTCTGTGAGCCACAGTGCCCGGCCCGATTATGGCTCTTTAAGAAAAAAACTGCCCACACTGAAACCTCAAATACTGATCACAGGATCCACCTGTGTTACCCAGCTGTTCTAGCAGCGAAAGTCTGAAAACGACCCCTCATTTTAATCAGGCAGGCAGGCATTCCACATGTACACTTGAAACCACACTAGACTATTTCTGCATATTATAAGTCACGAGAGAAAACCAGCTAGACCAATGAAGCAGCTTCTTCTATGATTAGATCCTTGTGTTGGGGGTGCGGGATTGGGGGAGATATGTTCTAGAAGCCACTGCCAGTTCTATTTAGAGTTAATCAAGCTTACCAGGACCCTGGGTCTCATGCAGCATGCAGCAAACAGCAGAGTTAACTGTAAAACAGTAAGAGCTGATGAAGATGGAGTGAGCATGAGGAGAAATCAAATATTATGACTTGACAAAAACAATGAAGGGTTAGAGGTCAAAGGTGATTAGGAGTAGCAGGAAGGGGAAGTGGGAAGGGTGGACTGGTAGGAACCCCTGAAACACTGATACTCTTTTTTTTTTTTTTTTAAGTCAGGGTCTCCCTCTGTTGCCCAGACTGGAGTACAGTGGTGCAATCACGGCTCACTGCAGCCTCAACCTCCCAGGTTCAAGCAATTCTCCCACCTCAGCCTCCTGAGTAGCTGGGATGATAGGCAAGTGCCACCAGGCCCAGCTAATGTTTAATTTTTTTTTTTGTAGAGACAGGGGCCTCACTATGTTGCCCAGGCTGATCTCAAACTCCTAGACTCAAGCAATCCTTTGCGTTGGCCTCCCAAAGTATTGGGATTACAAGTGTGAGCCACTGCGGCTGGCCAATACTTTCTTAATCTCTTTAGGGGCAGCTAAAGGAAATTCTGAATATGTGACTCTTAGATCCAACCACCATCTCTCAAGAAGAAATACTACTACCACCATTTCTGCCCTCAAAACTCACTACCATGACTATGGGAGGAGGGTAGCACAGGTCTAACGGTGGCTCTTCCAGAAGTTAACCAATTGCTCATGAAATTACATAAGCAGCCAAAACCCAGGGCCACTTCTGCATCTGGAAGTACGGAAGAAGACAGGTCATTCTGTCAGGCCCTTATTGCTAATATGAGGTGCCACATGCCAGCAGGGTTTTCACCCATTTCAGAATTGGAAAGGAGCACTGTCACCAACCCCAAATATTCCTGGAGAGTAGAGAGGGGTATCTCCCTGTTGGCGTCTCCTGCCTGGGGTGGGAGAAGTCAGTCAGTAAGGGCAACAAGGGGAAAGCTTGATGTGAGAAGAACTTTTACTGAACATCTGAATAGGGAATATTTATAGTTTCAGTGTAGCCTGAACAAACCAATTCCTAACTCCCACAAGCAGGCTATGAAACTGCCCCAGGTACTGAGTTAACAAATACCACAGGACTATGAAGGCAGCAGTTATAGCTGGACGACGAATTTAGATTTTTCTGATCTTAAAAATAGGAATTCATTCCTGCTGGTGCAACTAATACACCACGACAGATAAGTTAATACAGTACAGGGTGTGTCCAAAGAGACTTTTTTCTGGCTAGTTGAACTTTATCCATCAGGTAATACCAAAAAAGTGCATTCATCAGTGAATTTGACATATAGTATTAAGATTCAGTAAGAAAAATTTCTGGACTAATTGGTGAAGATGTTCTTTTTTTTTTTCTTTTTTTAGACAAAGTCTCACTCTGTCACCCAGGCTGGAGTGCAGTGGCACGATCTTGGCTCTGCAACCTCCACCTCCCAGGCTCAAGTGATTCTCCTGCCTTAGCCTCCTGAGTAGCTGGGACTAAAGGTGTGGGCCATCACACCCGGCTAATTTTTGTATTTTTAGTAGAGACGGGGTGTCGCCATGTTGCCCAGGCTGGTCTCAAACTCCTGACCTCAGGTGATCTGCCTGCCTCGGCTTCCCAAAGTGCTGGGATTACAGGCATGAGCCACTGTACCCAGCCAAGATGTTTAAATTACGCATTTGAATAAAGAGTAATTGGATTGCAAAGCTGAGTGCCTTCAAATATAACATATTTTACTGTTAAGCAAAAGTTACCATGTTATTCCTAAGTGATCAGCCAGAGGAAAGGAAGGTGTTTCTTCCTTCTGGCAAAAATATCCCATAGTTAAGTCTAGGAACAAATGGCTGAAAACAGAAGGCAATGACCATGGACACCTTTTGGATCCTCAGTACCCTTTAGTAAAGACACGGCTAAACAGTCCACCTGGGAACACCTCAACCCACACTGCACAAACAACTGCAGGGCACAAGGGCACCACAGGAGTTTTTCTAGATCCCGTTGAAATACTTTTCTCTGGTTCTAGGATGAGGAATTGATAACTTCAGCAAGCAGAGACTGGGGTTGGGTGAGGATTATTGACCCACATGGTATCTAGGAGTCACTGTTCTAATACCAGGGGAGATGAGAAGTCTTAAAATCATTCCACAGATTGAGGATGGGGCACATGCAGCATACACTGACATCTGAGGGTTCCCCTGTTAAGTTCTCAGCACCCCAGGCTGGGCAGAACTAAGCCAGCAGGGAGGGATCACAAAGAGGTAGGAAATCAGGGCTGGGCTGCAGCCTTCAGTGGCAGCAGTTAAATTCTGTTGGCTGCAGCGAGTAAGAACTGAGGCAGGGTGAGGGTGGGACTATGGCCATGGAGAGATGAGCAACCTCAGATATAGGGCAGGGGTGGGGAGAGAGTGCACTGAGTTTCTGCTAAAGGCTCTCTCCTTCTTCCACTACCCTGTATCTGCACTTCTTTTTTTTTTCTTTTCGAGACAGAGTCTCAATCTGTTGCCCAGGCTGGAGTGCAGTGGTGCGATCTTAGCTCACTGCAACCTCCGCCTCCTCGGTTCAGGCAATTCTCCTGCACAGCCTCCCAAGTAGCTGGGATTACAGGCGCACGCCACCACGCCTGGCTAATTTTTTGTATTGTTAGTGGAGACAAGGTTTCATCATGTAGGCCAGGCTGGTCTCGAACTCCTGAACTCAAGTGATCCATCCGCCTTGGCCTCCCAAAGTGCTAGGATTATACCATATCTGCAGTTCTTTTTGTTCCTCTCTTTCTTTTCTTTTCTTTTCTTTTTTTTTTTTTTCAGATGGAGTCTCACTCCATTGCCCAGGCTGGAGTGCAGTGGTGTGATCTTGGCTCACTGTAACCTACACCTCCCGGGTTCAAGTGATCTGCCTGCCTCAGCCTCCTGAGTAGTTGGGACTATAGGTGTGCATCACCACACCCAGCTAATTTCTGTATTTTTATTTTTATTTTTTTAGATGGAGTCTCGCTCTGTCGCCCAACCTGGAGGGCAGTGGTATGATCTCAACTCACTGCAACCTCTGCCTCCTGGGTTCAAGCGATTCTCCTGCCTCAGCCTCCTGAGTAGCTGGGATTACAAGCTCACGCCACCACGCCTGGCTAATTTTTGTGTTTTTAGTAGAGACAGGGTTTCACTATGTTGGTCAGGCTGGTCTCTAACTCTTTTTTTTATTTTTTATTTTTTGAGATGGAGTCTCGCTCTGTAGCCCAGGCTGGAGTGCAGTGGCGCGATCTTGGCTCACTGCAAGCTCCACCTCCCAGGTTCATGCCATTCTCCTGCCTCAGCCTCCCAAGTAGCTGGAACTACAGGCGCCCACCACCAAACCCAGCTAATTTTTTTGTATTTTTAGTAGAGACGGGGTTTCACCATGTTAACCAGGATTGTCTCGATCTCCTGACCTCGTGATCCACCCGCCTCGGCCTCCCAAAGTGCTGGGATTACAGGCATGAGCCACTGTGCCCAGCCTTTTTTTTTTTTTTTTTTAAGTAGAGATGGGGTCTTGCCATATAGGCCAGGCTGGTCTCGAACTCCTGACCTCAAGTGTTCCTCCTGCCTTGGCCTCCCAAACTGCTGGGATTATAGGCGTGAGCCACCTTGTTCCTCTCTTATATTGAGAGGCCTTGTTCCTCTCTTATATTGCTGCACCTCTAATTTTTTTCCTCCCTTCTGCTCTCTCACTCTCCCTTTGCTTTTCCTCTTTTCCCTTCCTCTCCCATGGACCTTGAGTTTGCAGGGCTTTCCTGAGCAAGCTGGACAGATGGGCTGGGCCTCTGGGACCACACCCCTCCCCTACTCTCAACTCCCCAAGCTCAGGGAATCAAAAGGTCCCGCAGGGACGCTGGGACCAGTTATAGGTACCTCAACCAGTCTGACAGCCCGCAGCTCACCTCTGGTCACCAGTCCTCAGCCCCTTCAGGTGCCACGTCCTGCCCCGGGAGGATGAGCAGCAGGAAAGAGAAGGCACCACCCCAGAGCAGACTGCTACTTACTTTTTCTTCTCTTTGTCTCTCTTCAGAGTCTGTGAGCCTCCAGCCTGGGAGCCCTGGGACTGGAGCAGCTCGGCTGCCGTCTTTCTTTGCTTGAAAGCATTCACTTCATCATCCAGGGATTTCTTCTTATCCTCCAGTTTCTTCTTCTCGTCCTGGTGCAGTTTCTTCAGACGGTCAAACTTCTCATGCAGCTGGCAGGGAAGCACAGGGAGATTGGAGAGAGTCCCCTGTGAGCAGTCCCCAGCTTGGTCAAGCCCAGGTGGGTGGGAACCAGTAGGGCTGTGACCCTGCAGGACCCTGGAACCTCAGGGGGCATTTCTGTCAGGGATTGCCATGATGGCACCAAAGGCACCATGCTCTGGATCATTCTCTCCTCCTGTCATTTTATCTCCAAGTCTCTGCTCCTGAATATGGTAAAGGAACACTGCATTGTGTTTAGTCAGACATTTTGTTAAAAAGAGTCCCCATAGTTACCACACATGTTGAATAATAACATCAATGATAATAATATAACATTTACTGAGTGCTGGCCGGGCTCAGGCCTGTAATCCCAGCACTTTGGGAGGCCGAGGTGGGCAGATTACTTGAGGTCAGGTGTTCAACACCAGCCTGGCCAACATGGGGAAACCCCGTCTCTACTAAAAATACGAGAATTAGCCAGGCATTGTGGCATGTGCCTGTAGTCCCAGCTACTCAGCAGGCTGAGGCAGGAGAATCACCTGAACCCGGGAGGCAGAGGTTGTAGTGAGCCGAGACCATGCCACTGCACTCCAGCCTAGGCAACACAGCAAGACTCTGTCTCAAAAACAAACAAAAAAAATTACCCAGAAATTATTATAGGCTAAGCACTAACTTTTATAAGCCCTTTATGTATATTAATTTATTTAATTGTTACCACATTCCTATGAGGTAGGTTCTTTATTATCTCTATTTTATGAGGAAACAGAAGGTCTAAGAAGTAAGGAATTTGACTATGGTCAATCCAGTATTTAGAGCATGATATAACGGGACCTCTTATGTGTAAGGAACCCCTGTCTTTTCTTAACCCCGCAATCAGGGAGGATCACCACGGATCACAGAGAAAACTTCAGTAATGGGAAAGTCAGTCAATGGAAATACTTGGCTTTGGGCATGGAAGGAAATAAAAAGGATTTTATGATATGGAATGAGTACAGACACCTCAGCCTTAACTAAAGGGAGGCTTCATTAGTCCTGAATAGAACCAGAAACCCAAAACAAGAAGAATATTCTGGGCCAGGCACAGTGGCTCATGCCTGTAGTACCAGCACTTTGGGAGTGCTGTAATCCCGGTAGTCAGCTCAATCCCAGCCAAGGTGGGTGGTACGAAGTCAGGAGTTCTAGACCAGCCTGCCCAACATGATGAAACCTCGTCTCTACTAAAAGTACAAAAATCAGCTGGGCGTGGTGATGCACGCCTATAATCCCAGCTACTCGGGAGGCTGAGGCAGGAGAATCGCTTGAACCTGGGAGGCAGAGCTTGCAGTGAGCCAAGATCGCACCACTGTACTCCAGGCTGGGCAACAGAGCAAGACTCTGTCTCGGAAAAAAAAAAGAATATTCTGGTATGCCATTGTGGTAGGTGGATCAAAGAACAAGAGGTACAGACAGTCACAAACTAAAATGCAATAAACTACCCTGAATAGTAAGAGCAGAGCAAGCCGAATTGCACTTTCTTTCATGGATTCGGAAAAGAGTTTAGGATTCTGTAGCACTTGCAGCATACCATGAAGAAGGTTGGTTCTCTGGGTCCTGGGGGTATTTGACACTGTCACTTAGGTAGGTGAGTGATAGACTTGCTGTATAAACCAGCTCTTTTTTTTTTTCTTTCTTTCTTTCTTTCTTTTTTTTTTTTGAGACAGAGTATCGCTCTGTCGCCCAGGCTGGAGTGCAGTGGCACGATCTCGGCTGCAACCTCCACCTCCCGGGTTCAAGTGATTCTCCTGCCTCAGCCTCCCGAGTAGCTGGGACTACAGGCGCATGCTACCACTCCTGGCTAATTTTTTTTGTATTTTTAATAGAGACAGGGTTTCACCGAGTTAGCCAGGATGGTCTCGATCTCCTGACCTCGTGATCCGCCTGCCTCGGCCTCCCAAAGTGCTGGGATTACAGGCGTGAGCCACCGCAACTGGCCTAAAGCATCTCTTACTTAGTCACTAGGGCTGCCTATCAGTTGCCTTAACCTGGCTTTTGTTTGTTGTACTTTTATTAATTTGTCTTTAAGATCCCCTCAATTCTCCTAGAAGTGATGGATGACTTTTTTTTTTTCTTTTTCTTTTTTTTTATTGAGACAGTCTCACTTTGTCACGCAGGCTGGAGTGCAGTGGCCTCGATCTCTCGGCTCAAGCATTCCTCCCACCTCAGCTTCCTGGGTAGCTGGGACTACAGGCACATGCCACCATGCCTCGCTAATTTTTTGTATTTGTACTTTTTTTATTTTTATTATTATTATTTTTTGAGATGGAGTCTCGCTCTGTCGCCCAGGCTGGAGTCCAGTGGCACAATCTCGGCTCACTGCAACCTCCACCTCCTGGGTTCAAGCAATTCTTCTGCCTCAGCCTCCCAAGTAGCTGGGACTACAGGTGCGTACCACCATACCTGGCTAATTTTTTGTAATTTTAGTAGAGACGGGGTTTCACCATATTAGCCAGGCTGGCCTCGAACTCCTGAACTTGTGATCCGCCCACCTCGGCCTCCCAAAGTGCTGGGATTACAGGTGTGAGCAACTGCGCCCAGACAATTTTTTGTATTTTTAATAGAGACGGAGCCTCAGTATGTTGCCCAGGCTGGTCTTGAACTCCTGGGCTCAAGCAATCCATCCGCTTTAGCCTCCCAAAGTGCTGGGATTACAGACCTGAGCCAAGGCACCTGTCTGACTTTTTTTTTCTTTTTAAGTGAAACTGAAAAAAAAAACAAAAAACCAATACCCTTGTCATGGGCTTTGGTGAGAACCCTTGAGAGTGCGACAGGTTAAATGTGGAAGATATTTGTGAAGTAATTAAGTGTTTCCTTTCTTTTTTTTCTTTTTGAGATAGAGTCTTGCTCTGCCACCCAGGCTGGAGTGCAGTGGCACGATCTCAGCTTACTGTAACCTCCGCCTCCCAGATTCAAGTGATTCTCCTGCCTCATCCTCCCAAGTAGCTGGGACTATAGGCATGTGCCACCACACTCCACTAATTGTTGTATTTTTAGTAGAGACAGGATTTCACAATGTTGGTCAGGCTGGTCTCGAACTCCTGACTTCAGGTGATGCAACCACCTCGGCCTTCCAAAGTGTTGGGATTACAGGCGTGAGCCACAATGCCCAGCCCGATGTTTGGATTTCTGTTCCTGTGTTAGTTTGCTGAGGATAATGGCTCCCAGCTCCATTCACATCCCTGTAAAGAACATCCTCTCATTCCTTTTCATGGCTCTATAGTATTCCATGGTGTATATGTACCACATTTTCTTTACCCAGTCTATCATTGATGGGCATTTGGGTTGAGTCCATGTCTTTCCTATTGTGAATAGTATTGCAGTGAACATACGTGTGCATGTATCTTTATAATAAAATGATCTATAGGATTGCTGGGTCGAATGGTATTTCTGATTCTAGGTCTTTGAGGAATCACCACACTGTCTTCCACAATGGTTGAAGTAATCTACATTCACACCAACAGTGTAAAAGCGTTCCTATTTTTCTACAGCCTGACCAGCAGCTGTTGTTTCTTGACATTTTAATAATCACCAGGCTCACATTTACCTCTTTCTCTGCCTCTTTGAGCTCTGCTTCTTTCTCTTTGACTCTCTGGACGAACATCTGTCTCATCTCCTCTTCTTTTTTCTGGAGTTCCCCTAGGAACTCATTTCGTTTGGCCTCATACGTCTCCTGTAAACTGCGAACATGGTCAGGTTAATTCTTCTTCCTTTGGAATGGCTCCTATTTGATAAAACTGGCCCCAAAGATCCTTACTGGGTTCCTCTGTCCTCCCTTCCCCAGTTGTGAGCCAGGTACAAAAATAGAACCACAAAGCTGTGGGCACCTGGCTTGGCCCATGACAGCATGCCCACAGGGCTTCTAAAGAGGGATGGGGCAACCCTAGTGAACTGGAGAGACTTAGAATATCTGATTCTATACTCTTGTTCTACGGATGAGAAAACTGAGGCCCAGAGAGTTGAGGTGTCTTGCTCAAGGCTCCACGGCTAGTTAGAGGGAGACCTTTGACCAGAAGCTGAGTCTCCTGTCTCTTCATCTGGGTTTTCCCACTGCACAGTGCTGCCAGGCCCTAGCTCTGAAACCGACCACATGAATGAACTATTTCAACAAATGCTTGAGGAGACTCCATATGTGCTAGACTCAGTACTAATTGACATGATGCTAGTCACTCAGCCTCTACAGCCAACAGCCATCATACTTGCCATCAAGGAACTCATGGTCTAGTGGGAGATGCCCCTGGCCTAAGCTTATTTTTAAAGAAATAGGAGATGATAGGCTGGGTGCGGTGGCTCACACCTGTAATTCCAGCACTGTGGGAGGCCAAGGCCGGTGGATCACCTGAGGTCAGGAGTTCGAGACCAGCCTGGCCAACATGGTGAAACCCCATCTCTACCAAAAAATATAAAAAATTAGCCGGGTGTCGTGGTGGGCGCCTGTAATCCCAGCTACTTGGGAGGCTGAGGCAGGAGAATCGCTTGAGCCTGCTAGGCGAAGGTTGAAGTGAGCCAAGATCGCGCCACTGCACTCCAGCCTGTGTGACAGAGTGAGACTCCATCTCAAAAAAAAAAAAAAAAAAAAGAAAAGGCAATAGCCTGGTGAAGAAGAGGTGGAACTGTGATCCAAAGAGGGCAGCATGTAAGAAAGCTCATGTGGAGAGAGAATGACATTCTTAGGGAGCCAGGTGTGGTTCAACATGGCCAGAGAGCACCATGGCAATGCTGGAGTAGAGGCAGACGAAGTTCCTAAGCCTGGTGGAAGAGAACAGGCTTTGAATGACATATTTAAAAATTGGACGTGTATGCACTGCATGGTTTTAAAACAGGAAGTAGTACTAGATCCAATTTGAAAATAAGAAGGACCACTCTGGCTGTGTTGTGAGAAGGATAGACTTTCCATCAATCCAAGTAAGAAGTGACAGGATCTTGGCTGGGCGTGGTGGCTCATGCTTGTAATCCCAGCACTTTGGGAGGCCACAGTGGGTGGATCACTTGAGGTCAGGAGTTCAAGAACAGCCTGGCCAATATGGTGAAACCCCATCTCTAATAAAAATACAAAAATTAGCCGGGCGAGGTGGTGGGTGCCTGTAATCCCAGCTACTTGAGAGGCTGAGGCAGGAGAATCACTTGAACCCCAGAGACCAAGGTTGCCGTGAGCCGAGATTGTGCCACTGCACTCCAGCCTGGGCAAGGCAGCAAGACTCTGTCTCAAAAAAAAAAAAAGAAAAGAAAAGAAAAGAAAAGAAGAAGTGATAGGATCTTAATGTTAAGGGCTGGGAGGGAATGGAGGGAGTGGTAAGAAAAGCAGAACTCCCAGGACTTGGGAGGAGCCAAAGGTAATTCTGATTATCTTTGGGCAACCAGGTGGATGGTGGTATCATGAATGGCAACAGGGAATGTTGGAGACACATGCTTAAGAGGGAAGAAGATGAATCTGTACAGAGCTTGATTTTCGGGGATGTCCTCTATGGGATGTCTGAGTGGAAATGTCCAGGATGCAGTTGGATTAATGGGTTTAGACTTCAGCAGTAAGACTAGCTTGGGAGCCATCTACTTCTAGGTGGTAATTAGGGCTGTGAGAGTAGAAAGAACCAGCTGCAAAGAGAACAGAAAGTGAAAGAAGCAGAGGCCCTAGGAAAGAATCCCAGGGGGGGTATATCAACATTTAAAGGAGTAAGGTGAAGAAAATGAGCCTGCAAAGGAGGCTGAGAAGAAATAGTACGAGAGATAGGAATAGAATCAGCCAGGACATTGCTGGAAAAGCCAAAGGCAGAGAGCATTTCAAGGAGGCAGTGAGGAATGGCATAAAGTGCTGCGTTGATATCAAATAAGATGGAACCCAAAGGCAACATTGAACTTAGCCACAAGTTTGCGATTCCTGGCCTTGGAGAGAGGCATTTGAGTGGCTATGCTGGGGGCAGAAGCCAGACTGCAGTGGCTTGAGGAATGAATGAGAGATGGGGAAGAGGAAACAGCTAATATAGAACAACTCTTTCTCCTTCTCATCCTGTCAAGGACTTCTTGACAGGGCAGAGGCTGGTAAGAAAGAGCAGGGTTAAGGGAAAGTTTCTTCAGCACAAGAATGCTTACGTGCAGCACGGGAAAGAGCTGGCAGAGAAGGAGTGAAGAAGGCGAAGACACAGGAAACAGAGGTATTCAGGATGGAGCGAAGGAGGAGGGAAGGAGACAAAATGACCAGGTGGAGGCACACCTACTCCTCTACAAATGCAGATGAAAGCTGCAGGTGGGGAAGAGAGCCAGGGAGCTCCCACCAGAAAGAGACAAGCAGGGCTTCCCCCAGCCCCACCTGTCAGTATAGGGCATGAGCCTATCCTTCCTGAAGCAAGTATCCCCAAGGGACTGGTTAGGCTCTGACTCCAGGCCAGCTTTAGGCTGTGAACAGGTAGTGTAAGATCTCAGAGGCTCTTTGAAAGCCTTTTTAACCGGTAGACATCTCCCTCACTTGCTTATTAGTGCCTGACCACCATAAAGGGCACCACGTGGTAATTTCAACTGTGGAGCTTATTTCACACATCACACATATAGATCAGACACTTCTACTTGGTGCATCACTCCTCTCGGCATAATAACCTGCTTTCAAAAACATTTCCCTTCTCTAAAAGCATTCTGATTTAAGAAATATGCCAATGATGATTAACATCCTGCGGTCAAAACAGAACTTGCACTTGAATGCAGACACTAAGAACAGCAATTGAGGAGCCTGCAGTTCATCGATGCATGGCAAGGGATCGCTACCTGGTCCTATCTGGGTTTCAGAATGGGGAAATGGGTAAAGAACCTGTCTGAGCACCAGGAGCCTGATGAAGAAAGAGGGGCAGAGGAGAGTTACCAACTGCCACCCCGTGGAACAGGGCCCCAGCTTGGGGATCCCCTCCAGCGCAGCTGCTTGGAGCTGTCACGGATGCGTGCATGTGTGTGTGGTGATCCACCTTGCTGGTCCTCTGGGCCTCCTCCCTTCCCTTGCCCTTCAAAGCAAGGCAGCAGTACTTCCCAAGCCTGCGCCCCACAGCTCTCCTGGCAGATGTGCAGTGGCGAAGGGTGAACAGGCAAGCAGAACTGGCAAGTGAGCCGCCCCTGCTCCTCGAGGTCTTAGCACCCGTGTCTCGCCTCCCCTGTGAATTCTCCAGGGGAAGGCTTCCACACCACCTGGGTGGGCTGAGCTGAGCTGGGCTGGACTGGGCTGGCAGGAGTGGTACCTGAAGGGTTTGCTGTCAGGGTCGGTGTCCTTGAAGCCCATCTCCTCCAGCTTACAGCGGCGATACAGCTCATAGTGCCGGGTGTGGGTCTGCTCCCGCAGATCCTCCATGTTGACCCGAATCAGCATCTCCCGCAGCTTCACAAAGTCGCAGTGGGCCTCGTTTTCAACTGCATAGCAGGGTTTGGGGTATTGAAAGTATGTTGAAAGGAAGGCCAGCGGAAGTAGAAATGGATGAAACGAGAGGCAAAATGTCTAACAGTGACATTGCCTTGCAATCTGTGTATTTAGATCCTGCAAATTTACTTCCTCTCTTTTTTACTGAAAATGTAAATGAAAGGTTACAAAAATGCCAGTAATGAAAAATGGTGATACCATAAAAATACTTGTTAAGACAGTCAGTAGCACCACAATCTAAATTCAGCAGTCAGACCTTCAAAAGAATGTTTGGTCTGCACCACTTGTAGGACAACAGCACATATGCATCTATCCATCCATCCATCCATCCATCCATCCATCCACCCACCCACCCATTCATCCATCCATCTATCCATCCATCCAACCAATATTTGTGGAATCTCTGTTCCCATTATTGTGTGAGGCACTGGGAATTCAGAAACGAAGTCATGGAATCTTGCTGTCAGGAGCTTACACTTTAGAGGAAGAATAGATGCAAATAGACAAATACAATTCAGTGCAAAACTACAAAAACAGAGGGATAGCCAAGTGGCAATAAAGCTCAGAAAAGGGGGCCTAAGAGCTCCTGGGAAAGTGAAGACTTCACCGAAGAGAAAATCCCTAAGATGACTCTGGAAGGAAGAATAGTAATTTATCAGCCAGAGAAGGGAATAGTGTTTGCAAGGTGTCAATGAGGTTAGGCAAGGTTATGTAGCTAGTTAAGTTGCAGAGTTAGGGCTCAAACCCAGGCAATGTAGGGGAGGTGACAAAGTCTCCAAATAATAAGGGGAAAGAACTAGGATATTGATAGATGACAGTGACAAGGAGGGGTGTGGACTGCAGGCATGGCCCACCTGGATGGTAGAAGCTTCCAAGGAGGTGGTTTCTTTAGAGGTTAGATAATGGCCTGACAGTAGCAATGGTGACTAGGAGCAAGGGGACCCCACTTTCTTGCCTGTGTGAACAAGTCCCCTCTTCAAAAGAGTGCAAGCAAAGGTCTGCAATTTTGGGCAGTGGTCAAGAATGACAGATGTGGACCAAGTCATAGCAAAATCGATTTCTAGCTAGACCAGGTCACAAGCAGTACTTTGTCAAGGTGGCTACAGGTATGGCTTCACTGTGTCAGATGGTGGTATTTGGCCTGAACAAGTAGGAAAAATGGTGTCTGAAGTGATGAGCAGGCAATCACCCCAGATTCTGTCTTGCAGAGTCTGGAAGAGGGTAGTGGGGGCAGAGAGGGGTCTGGGATAAGTGGGTCAGCTGTAGTTGAAGCAGACTGCCTTGTGGTCATCAGTCTTTCCAAAGCCCGAATCAGCTCACATAATCCTTCTGCTTAAGACCCACTGAATTGGAATAAAGCCCCCTGCTGTCATAGAACATAGGCTAATATTAAAGATGACATCAGTAAGACAACTTCTCAGGACTATGCTATATGCAACTTCTCAGTACTATGCTATATGCCATCTCCTCCTCCATCTCTGGACAGTGATCTCTGATGGTGAGTCAGAAGGAGTGCCTCCAAGGCCCCTGCAGGCTACCTAAGCAATATACAACTTCTTCCTCATTCAAGCAGAACAGTCAACTTAGACTTACAAGAAAAACTTTCAAAGCCCCCTTTATTGTTTAGGTTCAGAGTAGTCCACGTCAGATGAAGTAAGTCATTGGAACCATGTCTACTGGCTTCTCCTCATCTCACTTCAGGTTCCTGTTTCTCAGACCACAAGTCCATTCCCAGGGTGGGACTGTGGGTCCAGAAACCATTTGCAAATGTTCCTAGTGGAGCAACCCCAGCTCCGAACAGCAGAGAAGACCAGAAGTTAGCACAGCTCTGATAACCAGTCTTGTCCTACCTATAGAAAATCCAGCTATTGTCAGTGGGTCTGCGGGGTGTCCTAAAACATGCCAGCCTTTGTATGTGATGTGAACAACTCGCCACCCACTTTCAGGTGTTTCCCCAGTGGTAGGGATGAGGTTATAGAGAACCAGTCACTCTTTCACACGATGCCCCTATCAGCCACGGCCTGGTTTCTAGCTGTAGACTCTGAGGACCAGAGACCTCTTCTACCCACAGCACTGTCCTTGGCCTTGTCTTATGCACTGAACTGACTAGCCCTGAGGGTAAGTTAACATATGTCAGGCAGATCCCAGAAGGAACTTTCCTGAGTGTAATACAATATGTCTGATTGCTTTTCAATTGTGAAATAATCATACATTCAAAAGAGAGCATGAAATATGTATGTGCAATTTAAAGAATTTTTGAAAAATTAACACCAATGTCTCCACAACTCAGGTTAAACATTACCAGTATCTTGGAAGCCCCTGAGTGCCCTTTTCCAATCTCATCCTCCTTTATCCCCCCACTCCCCTGGCAGAGACTTAACCCCTCTCTTGACTTTGGAGAGTATCATTCCTTTGTTTTCTTTACGGTTTTACCTCTCATGTATGCATTCCTAAAATATATATATCTTGTTTAGTTGTGCCTCCTTTTGGAATTCATACAAAGGGAATCCAATGGTATGTTTCTTTCTTTTTTTTTTCAATCTCGCTGTGTCGCCCAGGTTGGAGTGCAGTGGCGAAATCTCAGCTCACGGCAATCTCTGCCTCCTGGGTTCAAGCGATTCTCTTGCCTCAGCCTCCTGAGTAGCTGGGACTACAGGCACATGCCACCATGCCTGACTTTTTGTGTGTGTGTGTATTTTTAGTAGAGATGGGGTTTCACCATGTTGGCCAGGTTGGTCTCGAACTCCTGACTTCAGGTGATCTATCCGCTTCGGCCTCCCAGAGTGCTAGGATTACAGGAGTGAGCCACTGTGCCCAGTCCCAATATGTAGTTTTTAAAAATCCCTTATCCCCTTCCCACCCTCCCATTATCCAGTCTTTTTTTTTTTTTTTTTTTTTTTTTTGTACTTTTAGTAGAGATGGGGTTTCACCATGCTGACCAGGATGGTCTCGATCTCCTGACCTCGTGATCCGCCTGCCCCGGCCTCCCAAAATGCTGGGATTACAGGCGTGAGCCACCACGTCCGGCCTATCCAGTCTATTTTAATGAATATCTGGATTGTTTGTAATTATTTGTCATTACAAACAACACTACTGTGAACATTCTTGTGCATTTCCTGGTGCACTTGGGCAAGAACACAGGCTTTCTCGCACACTCCTTCCTACCTTGCAAGTCTTTGTGTTTAGGAATACTTTTCCCATGAGAGACAGAGGAAGCTTGCTTCCATCAGGGCATCCCAGTATGGAGCCAGAGTTAGCTTCCTAGTGACCCCTATGGCTATTTGGGACCCATGCTAAATGAGCAGAGACTTGGGACAGTTTAGAAACTTGTCATATAGTGGCTGGGGACAAACAAAGAGGCAGACAAAAGGGGTTTCCTGCATGTAGCCCCTCTCCCGGAGACTCACTCACCCTGCACAGTGCCCCAAGGATACTGCCGCGCCCTCATCATCTTGTTGCCTATCTTCAGTTCTTCTGTGCTGCCAATGACAGCAAACGGCAGGTGGGCCTGAAACCGAAGGCAAACGAAAGCTGAGAACTGCAGAGGAAAGGCACTGAGTGTTAAACACAACCCAACTGCTGTTGGTCTCTGGGGCCCCAGACCCTCACCCTGCAATGTCCCTCACTGTCATCATCACCAACAAGCATTTATTAAGTTCCCAAACTATGTGAGGATAAGAGGCCTAGTCCAAGCTTCTGCTGTTCAGAAATTCACAATAGAGGGTAACAATGACATGGCTGAATGCATAGAGAACAAAGAGAGAAAATAAGCAGAATAATAAGCAGACACACAGATTACCAAGCTATTCGCTATTCATAGTTACTGCTGAGGGGAAGAGCCTTTGGAAGATGGGGAAGTGGAATGAGGGGGTTCTGTGTGGATAGAGAGGATAAAGGAGTATCGAAGGGTCTCGGATCACTGGCCCTTCTCCCTCCCTGGCATGCAGGAGCCCCAAGACTAGGTCCATACTGAGACCACACAGCCGACTGAGCTGTATTGTCCTTGTTCTCATCCTTCCCTGGAGAAAGAGCTCACACTGAACTCGTGAGCCTAGAAGGCAAGTCACTAAGGATTTATTCACATAACTGTGCTGGGTTCTGCTGTCGGTGCTATAAGGCAGAGAGAAGCAGCAGAAGACATGCTCCCTCGCCCTCTAGGAGCTTACAGTCTTGTTGAGGGAGCCCAAATTACATAACTCAAGTCATATAAGATAGTATGTGATCAAGGGCTCAAGCATATGGTCTGGTGCCCTGTACATAGCAGGTGCTTAATAACTACTTCCTGAATGGCCATGGTAAGGCTAGGGAAAGAGGAAAGAAAGGCAAAGGACAAATAGGTTTATGAGCTTGGTGCTCACAGGGGGAATGAGGAGCTTGGCCTGGCTTTATGGGTCAGAGAAGAGACAGCTGCCCCGACTTGGTAGTGTGGGGCCTGGGAAACACTCACAGAGCCCCAATCCACAAGGAGCTGGCCAGCCTGTAATTGCTGAGTCACCACAGCCAAATGGAACTACGGAATCAATGTTTACCCACCAGGTGAGCCCAGGCGGGGCTTTGCCCAAAAGGGCTTTACACCAACAGGTAAAGAGCCTATGGGGAAAGTTTCTTAGCTTGATTGCACAAACAGGCCATGATCTCAGATATTTTGACCCATTTGCCCACTCATCCTAGCTCCTGTGATATATGCTAGGGATGAAGAACAACATAATGGCAAAAAAGCACAGAGCCTGGCCCCGGAGACTGCACAGTGTGCCCAGGGAGAAAGCCATCCCAACAACGATCAGACAGCAAGATGAGGGTTGTGCCAGAAGTGGAGGTTGCAGTGAGCCGAGATCGCACCACTGCACCCCAGCCTGTGTGACAGAGCAAGACCCTGTCTCAAAAAAAAAAAAAAAAATGATCAAGGTTGTAAACAGGGCTGGAGTAACACAGAAGAGGGAGCAATTAACTTCGTGGGAAGTCAAATAAGTCATTTCAGAGTAGGTAGTGGTAATCATACTAACAGCGTTAGCATTAGCAATAATTTGTTAAGCCCTATGCACTGGGTACCAGCTGCTTTACACGGTATTGTCTCACTGAATCTCTACAACAACACTATATGGTAAGTTGCCTTATTAGTCTCCTCTTTAGATGGGGAAACTGAGGTCCAGAAGGGCTAAGGGCACAGCAGGCATTGTTGCCAGCAGGCACACAATAGTAAGGAACTATTACTTACTAATAGTAAGGAACAGAATGAGGTATGGAATCCTGGTCTCTCTGACTTCAAAGCCCACCTCTTGCTGGTCTGCTACTTCCATTTAGGGGGTTCAAGCAGTAGATGAGGTGCGTATTCTAAACCCTGGGGGGAACTAGTTGTTCAAGACCAGATTATCAGAGGCAATTCAATTTAGGGAAACCCACAGCAAATCTGTTGCTTGTTTGTTTAATCCACAGGCTGATGTCACAGCCAATCCTTCCTCTCCATTCTCCTCTAGCTCTGGGCCCCAAAAATGTCCTTCAGAGCAGAAGAACACAGAATTTCATCAGGAGCTCAGCTCCAGGACCTCCACCAATCCCTTAAATTGCTTGGCTGCCAGCTGAAGCTGCTCTTCTTTCACCCTCTCGCCTCTCAGCTGCTATCAGACGATCATCTCAGCCACTCTCCAACCCCTCCCCACTCCACTGACTGTCCCTTAAATCTGGACATGGGAAAGAGGAGGTTATGGATATGGAAGGTGGGTGTGAGGTGGAGGTGAGAAATGTTTCATCCATTCTGGGAGGGGAATGACCAGAAGAGTAACTGGGCAAGTGACACACAGGGCATTTGGGAAGCACTGAATTCGTGAAAATGCTGCCCAAGGGCCTAAGCATCTCCAGTCTTTGCCAGGAGGGTTGATCTGGGCACAATTCATTCCCACTCAGGGACCTAAGACATATCGGGAGTCTCGAATCCACCCCTACACACTTTCTGGGAAAACATTTCCCCTGCAGAGACCCCACAGCTTTAGCCACATGACACAGAAGAGCCAAGGGGCGGCGAATGCAGAGAGCTAGACTGAGGGAGGAGGTGATAAAGAAAAACCACGTTGTAGCACTCCCTCATCCTGGGCTCTCAGCTGTAAGTGATGGAGGAGGAAGGCATGTGAAGTGGGAGGTGCTTCTCCAAGCTCGAGAAAAAAAAAAAAAAAAAAAACAAGAAGAAAACAAAGGCATACAAAAATGTCAGTATTCCCTCGGGCCTGTTCCATTTTTATCATCTAGAGACACTGTCAGAACGATAGGGTGACTTGCTTCCCCCTCTTTCTCAAACTGCTGTCATTTTATTCTTCTAGCTCAAAAATATAGCCCCAGCCCTCCCACGGCACGCTCCTTTGCAGCTGGCCTCAGTCTGTTTTGATAAGTATATGCAAGGTAGGCATTTCCCAGCGCTCTCCTTTCGTTTGACTTTCACAGCATCCTTCTATGGCAATGATTTAAAGATCCATTCATGAGTTGGGGGAACTGGGATACAGGGAGGTTAAACGAGTTGCCTAAGTCCCTAACCCGCATGCCCAGATCCTCTGAAGCAGCAGCAAGGCCACCGAGCTTTGGCTGCCAACCTCTCCCAGCCACCTAGGGTGGCCCGCACTCTGCCTCCTGGCTACATGGCATCCGCTAGAAGGAAGCAAACCATGACAAGCAGGAAATCATGGGGACCAGGCTCTGGCCCTCTGTTCCACTGCTTTTGAGAGACAGATGGCTTTGACAACCAGAATGGAGTCGAGCGGAGCAGAGAGCAGATACCCACCCTCCCCCCGCACCACCACCGACCATACTCCTAGGTCCTACCAGTGGGATCCAAATCTGAGGCTGGGCTTTCTGCTATTTTTCCCAGGTCTCTGTAGGAAACTGACAGACAGGGGTGACATTTTCTATGTGTGGACCCAGGGAGGAGACTCTGTTAGATGCAGGGCAGTGTTGCTGCTGAAACACAAACAGCCCTCTCAGGGGAGTCTGTGTAAATCTCTCACTCAGACTTCCAATGAGGCGCCCTCGGATGTCAGATTTCCCAGTGTCAGAAAACTCCAACAAGAGATAGTCTCAAGCCTCTCTTGGGAGTCCATTCCTAGATTCACTATCTGTCTTAGTGCATTTTGTCTTGCTACAATAAACTACTTGAGACTGAGTAATTTATCAACAATAGAAATTTATTCCTCATAGTTCTGGAGGCTGGGAGGTCCAAGATCAAGGCACCAGCATCTGGTCTGGTGAGGACCTTCTTGCCGCATCCTCACACAGCAGAAGGACAAGCTAGCCCAACACTGCATGATGTCTCTTTAAAAAGGGTCTTCGGCCAGGCGTGGTGGCTCACGCCTGTAATTCCAGCACTTTGGGAGGCCGAGGCAGGTGGATCACGAAGTCAGGAGTTCAAGACCAGCCTGGCCAAGATGGTGAAACCCCATCTCTACTAAAAATACAAAAATTAGCTGGGCGTGGTGGTGGGCGCCTGTAATCTCAGCTACTCGGGAGGCTGAGGCAGAGAATTGCTTGAACCTGGGAGGCAGAGGTTGTGGTGAGCCAAGATCACACCACTACACTGCAGCCTGGCCGACAGAGCAAGACTGCATCTCAAAAAAAAAAAAAAAAAAAAAAAAGGCCTTCATCCCATTAACAAGGGAGGAGCCCCTCAGCCCCTCATGGCTCAATCACTTTTTTTTTTTTAAAAAAAGACGGAGTTTCACTCTTGTTGCCTAGGCTGGAGTGCAATGGCACAATCTCAGCTCACTGCTGCAACCTCCGCCTCCTGGGTTCAGGAGATTCCCCTGCCTCAGTCTCCCGAGTAGCTGGGATTACAGGCGCCTGCCACCACGCCCAGCTAATTTTTGTATTTTCAGTAATGACAGGATCTCGCCATGTTGGCCAAGCTGTTCTTGAACTTGGGTGATCCACCCGCCTCAGCCTCCCAAAGTGCTGGGATTACAGGCATGAGCCACCGCGCCCAGCCAGGCCCAATCACTTCTTAAGGGCCCTTTTTTTGTTTTTTCTTTTTTTGTTTTTTAGACAGTCTCACTCGGTTGCCAGGCTGGAATGCAGTGGCGTGATCTTGGCTCACTGCAACCTCCACCTCCCGGATTCAAGTGATCCACCTGCCTCAGCCTCTCGAGTAGCTGGGACTACAGGCGTGTGGCACCATGCCCAGCTAATTTATCTTTTTCTCTTTTTTTGCAATGGAGTTTCGCTCTTGTTGCCCAGGCTAGAGTGCAATTGCGTGATCTCAGCTCACCACAACCTCCACCTCCTGGGTTCAAGCAATTCTTCTGCCTCAGCCTCCGGAGTAGCTGGGATTATAGGCATGCACCACCATGCCCAGCTAATTTTGCATTTTTAGTAGAGATGGGGTTTCTCCATGTTGGTTAGGCTGGTCCCAAACTCCCGACCTCAGGTGATCCGCCTGCCTCGGCCTCCCGAGTAGTTGGGATTACAGGCATGAGCCACCGTGCCTGGCAATTGTTTGTATTTTTAGTAGAGACAGGGTTTCACCATGTTGGCCAGGATGGTCTCGATCTCTTGACCCCTTGATTTGCCCACCTTGGCCTCCCAAAGTGCTGGGATTACAGGTGTGAGCCACTGTGCCCGGCCCCCACCTCTTAATACTATCACACTGGCCACATTTGAATTTTGGAGGGGACACAATCAAACCATAGCACCACCTTTACTGACTTGTGTCTAACTTAAATTCTTCTTGGTACGTTGTAAAGTACTTAATAATCCAATTGGCATGAGTTACTTTATTCTTATTTCACCACATCCATTATACTTGGGAGGCTAGGTGACTGTCTTCCTTAACCCAGTGAAATAGACAATGTCAGAACTCTTTATTCCTCATCTAATGATAATATTCTGATTGGGCTTGCTTCCCTCCCAGGGTGGACAGTGTTTCCCAGTTATGTTAGTCCCCATTTCAGGCTCCTGCTGGTGACTGAACAAGACCATTGGCTGATTTGCTCTCAAGTCAACCACTGGTGATTCCTGCAAAAGTACATGGAAACAATGGAAATACCACTGCTGTCTCAGAGGAAGGGAGGGACTTGTGCCTATGGGTCTCCCTGTGACCCTACTGTTCAGCCATGTGCTCTCACCGGACCCAAATGTCAACTGCCTTTGTGGGAACCAAACCCCAGACCTCACAAATGGACAACTAATGGAGCTTAGTCAAATAAGTAACTGGGCCTTTTTGCTGGTCCTGGTCATGGTTTGAGCCATGCAAAGAACATCATTAAATTTAAAACAACATAGCAATTTTCAGTATTAAAGTCTACAACCTTGAGAGATATCAGAGTATGAGTTGAAAATAGCATGCAACAAGACCTCGCTCTCCCTTCCCTTCCCCCTCAATCTAAAATAAGGTTTTCTGGAGTCACCCATAATCCAAGGTAGTGGCTGGGACCTCATTACTCTCATTTCCTGCCATAAAAATCCCTCATGGTGACAGACAGGACATTGTCCAGTCTTCTCCACTCAGGCAACAGCCTTCTTCCACTTCTTCCAATCCAGCTCCTATGACAATTGGCTGGGATGGCTGAGGCTGTGGGGTTGGAGTCAAATCCAAAATGAAAGACCAGCACCAACTCCTCCTACCACCCAAGCCCAGGTCCTGAGGATGCAGTTTCGTACACCACAGCTTGTGTGAAGACTCTGGGGACTTTTGACATAGTTGTTCGGTGGCAGGCAGGCTAAGCAATCGTCTGTGTATATTTGATAGCACCCTCTTTCCCATCACAGTGCATGTAACACAAAGCACTCACATGCAAGCTCCTCTCACAGGCATGCCAATTCCAGGCACACTAGATGTGGGGCCACTCCTCTCTTTCCCACTCAAAAAAAACCACAGTGGATTAGTTGAGCATGGAGGTGCATGCCTGTGGTCCCAGCTACTCAGGAGGCTGAGGCAGGAGGATTACTTGAACCCAGGAGGTGGAGGCTACAGTGAGCTGAGATTGATTACATCACTGCACTCCAGCCTGGGCGACAGAGCGAGAGCCTGTCTCAAAAAAAAAACGAAAAAGGCCGGGCGCGGTGGCTCAAGCCTGTAATCCCAGCACTTTGGGAGGCCGAGACGGGCGGATCATGAGGTCAGGAGATCGAGACCATCCTGGCTAACATGGTGAAACCCCATCTCTACTAAAAAGTACAAAAAACTAGCCAGGCGAGGTGGCGGGCGCCTGTAGTCCCAGCCATTCGGGAGGCTGAGGCAGGAGAATGGCTTAAATCCGGGAGGCGGAGCCTGCAGTGAGCTGAGATCCGGCTACTGCACTCCAGCCTGGGCGACAGAGCTAGACTCTGTCTCAAAAAAAAAAAAAAAGAAAAAAAGAAAAAAAAAAAGAAAAAGAAAGAAAAAAAAGGCACAGTGGGATGCAAGGGAGTAAGTGGTGAGTGATTTATAATAGGGATAATCCTGAATCCATTGGAATTCCCTCCCTCCCTCCCTCTTTCTCCTTCCCACCTTCCTTCCTTCCACTGGAATTCCCTCCTTCCCTCCCTCCCTCCCTCTTCCCTCCCCTCCTTCCTTCCTTTTTGTTTCTTTCTTTCTATTTAGTTTTTTTTTTCTTTTTTCTTTTTTTTCCTTTCTCTCTCTTTCTGGATTATTATTTTTTTTTTTGGTGAGACAGGGTGTTGCTCTGTCACCCAGCCTGGAGTAGTGCAGTGGCACGATCAGGGTTCACCGCAGCCTCAACTTCCCGGGCTCAAGTAATCCTCCTGCTTTAGGCTGCCCACCGACCAAGTAGCTGAGACTACAGGTGTATGCCACAGCACTAGTTAATTTTTTTTTTTTTTTTTTTGAGATGGATTTTTGCTCTTGTTGCCCAGGCTGGAGTGCAAAGGCGCAATCTCAGCTCACTGCAACCTCTGCCTCCCTAGGTTCAAGCGATTCTCCTGCCTCAGCCTTCCAAGTAGCTGGGATTACAGGCATGCACCACCACACCCAGCTAATTTTGTCTTTTTAGTGGAGACGGGGTTTCTCCATGTTGGTCAGGCTGGTCTCGAACTCTTGACCTCAGGTGATCCACCCACCTCGGCCTCCCCAAGTGCTGGAATTACAGGCGTGAGCCACCGCGCCTGGCCACCAGTTAATTTTTTTTTTTAATTTCAGTAGAGATGAGGTCTTGCTATGTTGTTCAGCCTCGAATTTTGTTTTTCAAAGTGAAACACAATTCTGAGTAATAAAGGACCCAAAATTCCTTCTCAGCCATAACAGCATGCTTGACAACTGCTGTTGCCTAGCTTGGGGGTTTCCAGCCTTGAGGTTGAGCCTACCCTAGGCTCAGTAGGAGGCCAGAACTGAGCTGAGAACAGAGCCCAGGATGACTGTCACTCCTAATCCACGAGGTACAAAGATGTGGTTCTGTGTGACATCTTGAGATGGCTGACAACTCTCAGTCCCTATTTATTCTTAGCAAAGCAAACCACAAGCCTGAAAGCTGCTTGGTGACTTAGGGCATCAGTGTTCGGAAGGTCTCTATGGCGACTGATGTCCTGAGGTGACTAGACGCTTCCAGACATCAGTGCCGGTGGCACCTAGACAACACTTCTCGCGAGGCTCCCGTTTTTCTGCAGACTAGGCTGTCTCTTCATAACAGAGCCTAGTTTCCATCAAAATGCCCTGACTTCTCGAGAGGACAAGCACTAATCTTTTTTAATTTTTCCATGCCCATGGCCGGTCAGAGAAGACCTATCTCCACCTGCCACGCTCCAGAGAACCTTACCCTTGAGCCAGATTTGTCTAAGATGGTGATGGTGATAACAAACACATCTCGGGTGTACTGATGGACAGGAAGTCAGGCGAGACAATGACTTGCTGCCCTGCTATGCTAATTTGTTGGCCAATTCATAGGAGGTGGCAGCTGATGTTGTAATGACAACTTAGAGGACAGTGGCAGCAGGAAAGTTTTCTAAAAACGGCTTTTATTACAAGGCTTTCCTGAGTTTGGCTATACCCAGGCATTATGTCATTAGGAAAAACTGATGCCACTCAATAGAGAAAAAGAAATCTGTTCCCAAAGCAGACGCTTTCTGAAAGCTATTAGCTGTCTGCTTGAAATCACAACATTGAAGATTTCACAGCAACAGCAACACATTGTAAGGAAGCATTAGGAGATGTTTGCCTCTCTGCCTTCTTTATTAGTCATTCCTCTAGTAGGGAAAAGTGGGGGAGGAGAGGAAAGATGGCAAGGTTTCTTTTTTTTTTTTTAATTCATTCACACTTAATAAAGCAAAACATAACCCTGATTATTATTTTTTTTTTTTTGAGATGAGTCTCACTCTGTTACCCAGGCTGGAGGGCAATGACGTAATCTTGGCTCACTGCAACCTCTGCCTCAGCCTCCAGAGTAGCTGGGATTACAGGCGCACACCACCACGCCTGGATAATTTTTGTATTTTTTAGTAGAGACGGGGTTTCGCCATGTTGGTCAGGTTGGTCTCAAACTCCTGACCTCAGGTGATCCACCCGCCTCAGCCTCCCAAAGTGCTGGGATTACAGGCCTGAGCCACCATGCCCAGCACACCCTGATATTTAAAAATAACATCTCTCGGTTGCAGTGAGCTGAGATTGTGCCACTGTACTCCAGCTTGGGCAATGGAATGAGATCCTGTCTCAAAAAAAAAAAAAAAAAGAGTAAAAGAAAAAAAAAAGAGTTAACTACACTAAGATGGATGGTGAAGATGTTTTGCTGCTCTTTGGTAAAATAATAATAATAAAGGGGTCAGCGTGGTGGCTCACACTTATAATCCCAGTACTTTGGGAGGCCGAGGCAGGAGGACTGCTTGAGCCCAGGGGTTCAAGACCAGCCTGAGTAACATAGCAAGACCCCGTCTCTACAAAACATTAAAACATTAGCCAGGTATGGTGAGTGCACCTGTAATCTCAGCTACTTGGGAGGCTGAGGCAGGAGGATCCCTTGAGCCCAGGAGTTCAAGGCTGCAATGAGTTGTGATCACACCACTGCACTCCAGCCTGGGCAACAGAGCAAGACTCTGTCTCTAAAACAAATTAAAATAATGATAATCATCATAAAAAGCAAATGGTCAGGAAATTGCTCCCACTCACATTCATGGTTCCATTGATCTCTGCTACTGACTCATCATCTGTAGGAAACTGATAGATCTGGACTCCGTTGCTGACAAGCTCGCTGGTGATTTTGATTTTGAACTTCGTTAGCTCACTCTTCGAAATGGCATCTGCTTTGGCAATGATGGGGATGATGTTCACCTAGGGAGAGGAGGGCAAAGTGGGGTCACTGCTGGTAACCTGCAACTGATAGCGGCATCACCTAAGACTTCCACCAGCTGCCAGAGGGAGCCGCTCAGCCCAGTGGTCAAGGACTGGCCGCTTCTGTAGCCAAATGACAATACAATAAATGACAAGTACTAACTGTGCTAGGCACTGAACTAAGTGCTTTACATGAATTAGCACAATTAATCCTGACAATAACCCTTCTTTCCAGGAGGTATTATTACTATTTTGCCAGTGAGAAATTAAGGCATAGGGAGGTTAAGTAACTTGTCCAAGGCCATGGAGCAGGTAAGTAGCAGAACTGGGATTCGAATCCAAACTCAGCCTTATTCCTAAGTCCATAGTCTTAAGCATGAGCTGTCTACCAGTTCAGATCCAAATTGAGGAGCTGTATGATATCTTGGTATCAAGGTTACTGCTTGGGAGATATAAAGCAGAAAGGTGATAGCTGGGAATCTGTGGCTAACAGGGGAGAGGTGGCCTCTTCTTGCTAACAGTAAATTGTTCCAACCCATCGAGTCCGGGCTAGCCCCAGCCGGGTGTGATATGGACCCACATGAGAGATGGCAGGGAAAGGAGGCAGGACAGTGCTCAGCGAGGATGTACACCTGGCTCTCTTTCTGGCAAGAGACACTGAATAACCAACTCGGTTAGGTGAGGAAGAACCTCTAGTTACAATTTGATCTGAGACTTATGCAAAAAGAATTATACTGCCTGAGTCTCATGATTAATTTCTGAGTAAGAAAAGCAGTATAAATGCCCAATTTCAGGCATCAGGAGAAAGGCCTAATGCCAACCAAAAGTTCAGTCCACCTGAACCCTAATCCTTGAAATTGCTCCAAGAAGGGACAAGGCTTTTTACTGTCAGAAGATAAAGAAACTTGAAATGCACGCGTGTTTGTGAGACAGAGCACACTAAGGTCAAGTTGACATGGAGAGCATAATCATTCCTGCCAGGAGACTCCAACAGGGGGGTGGGGGAGTGGGGGGCATAGGTGGCACTCAGGCCCCGGGCTCTGAAAGGGGAGTCTGGGAGCACCAGACGTGAAAGATAAATCCTGCCTCCTTTGCACTTTGGCTTAGGAGTGCCTCTGAAGGCTGATACCACACAGGTGCTGGGTCAAAGAAAGACTGAACCTTGGAGGCACCTCTCTTGAAGTCTTTTGCGGGCAGAGGGGTCAAAGCCCTTGCCAAGATGAAACAGCAGGCAGAGCCTATTCTCCTTGGCACTTTTGCCAAGTCCCCATTGACACACCATAAACATATATCAGGCCGGGAGCAGTGGCTCATGCCTATAATCCCAGCACTTTGGGAGGCCGAGGGGTGGATCACCTGAGGTCGGGAGTTTGAGACCAGCCTGGCCAACATGGTGAAATCCTGTCTCTACTAAAAATAAAAAGTATCCGGGTGTGGTAGCGCATGCCTATGATCCCAGCTACTCGGGAGGCTGAGGCAGGAGAATTGCTTGAACCCAGGAGGCGGAGGTTGCGGTGAGCCAAGATCGTGCCATTGCACTCCAGCCTGGACAACAAGAGTGAAATTCCATCTCAAAAAAATTAATTAATTAATTTTAAAATATATATATATATATATACACACACACACACACACACACATATATATCAAAGGTTTAACTCAGCCCATCCACCAGGCCTGCAGCCATGTGGCTCACCAATGCCCCTATACAGGACATGCAGGGCATGGCCACATTTCAAGAGCAGCCTTTTATTCATGGGCCATGAGCCCATTGCTGCAAAAAATGAAAAACCGCTCCTATTCTGATGAGAGCTGAAATTCAGTTTTAGAGTGGATGTGCTACTAAATGGCTGCATGTAAATTCGATTATTATTGTTTGGTATATAGTCTTGCTCTGTCGCCCAGGCTGGAGTGCAGTGGCATGATTCCGGCTCACTGCAACCTCCACTTCCAGGTTCAAGCGATTCTCCTGCCTGAGCCTCCCCAGTAGCTGGGATTACAGGTGTGCAACACCATGCCCAGCTACTTTTTGTATTTTTAGTAGAGACGGGGTTTCGCTATGTTGGCTGGGCCAGGCTGGTCTCGAACTCCTGACCTCAGATGATCCGCCCACCTTGGCCTCCCAAAGTGCTGGGATTATAGGCATGAGCCACCAAGCCCAGCCTAAATTCAGTTTTTGTAAAATAAAAGACCATAGAGTCAGAGCTAGGTCCAAATCCCAGACCCATTTCAAGTTGTCTGAGGTTGAGCAAGTGACTTGACTTTCTGCCCCTCAATTTCATCATGAGTGAAATGGGAATAATAATAGTACTCACCGCTGGATTATTGGAAGGAAAAAATAAAATAATGCATATAAAGTACTCATTACAGCATCTGGCACACATTAAATGGTAGGTGAAAATGTAATTAGGCTTTCTGAAGAATCCCATGATCAATTCTTTTGTAAAGCAAATAATCCTCTAACATGAAGAATCATTGTATAATTTATACATGGTATAGAATTTGCATTTTTAAGTTTTTTTGTTTTTTTGTTTTTTTTTTGAGACGGAGTCTTGCTCTGTCACCCAGGCTGGAGTGCAATGGCCCAATCTTGGCTCACTGCAAGCTCCACCTCCCAGGTTCATGCCATTCTCCTGCCTCAGCCTCCCAAGTAGCTGGGACTACAGGCGCCCGCCACCACGCCTGGCCTTTTTTTTGTATTTTTAGTAGAGACGGGGTTTCATTGTGTTAGCCAGGATGGTCTGGATCTCCTGACCTCGTGATCCACCCACCTCGGCCTCCCACAGTGCTGGGATTATAGGCGTGAGCTACCACGCCCAGCCAAGTTTTTCTTAAAGCAAGACGATGCCTGATTCCCACAGCCATCTTTCTCGGGCATAGAAGCATTATAACATGGGGTCATAGATCTGAGTGTCACAGAATCTGCACTCTACCAGTAGCTAGCAATATGACAATGAGCAAGTCACTTAACCTCTCAGAGCTTCAGTTTTCTCTTCTGTAAAATGAGGCTAACAATAATGTGTACTTCATGGGGTGGGCATATAATGAGGGTTTTAATGTTAACTGCAATCATAAAAGTAATTATTGATAGTAAGAATGATAACTTTCAAAGTCAAGTTTGCATGTTTGCTTCTAGCCAGTTAACATTGGGACAAAGAAAAAACAGCTTTCCATTGCCAAAGCCTTTGCCCTTAGACCCAGGGAGGCGTCTTGCTAGTCTCCAAGATGGATCAGGGCAGAAAGACAGCTCAGGGCAAGCCCAACCCTAGTGCTGGGAAAACAGATCACAAAGCGTATGATGCTGGTGCTGGATCCATAACACCATCTTTTTGGAGGGACAGGGAATGAGGGAGAGGATGAGGATGCCACAAATCTCTCCCGGAATCCCACATCTACTTTGCACAAGAGATCAGTAAGAGTGAGCCCCCAGCGCCCCTGCCCCTGCCTCCTATACCTTACTGTCCAGCTTCTTCATAGTCACTAGGTCCAGAGACTTCAGGGAATGACCCGTGGGGGCAATGAAATACAAGCAGACATGGATTCGGGAGTCATGGTAGGTGTGCAGCACTCTCCGGATCTTCAGCTCTTCCTGCAGGTAGGCCTCGAATTGTGCGTCGATGAATTCCACGATGGGCTTGTAGCTAAAAGGGACAGAGGTGGACCCCATCAAAAACTTGGATTTTGACCCTGTCCCTTTTGGAAGTTTCAAATGCCCTCTGTAATCCTGACTCTCTCCCATCCAGCTGCATTTCTCCATCTCCCTTCAGTGGGCCTCCGATCTTGTCAGCGTGGCCACCTTCTTGGTCCCTACGTGAGCCAAACATATGCCCATCTGTGCACCTTCACTAGAACGCCCCTTTCTCTCTCCTCATCCCAATTCTGCCCTCCCAGACCTCAGGGCTCAGCTTAATGCCCTCCTCCTTCCTACGGCCTTCCCCACTTATGCCAGAAATCCCTTCTGCGAGTCAGGGGCATAACAAGAAATGGCATTCAATTACTTATTGTTGCTTCACAAAGATTCTCTCAAATAGATTGTCTTCCTAAAGGGTAGGGCCTGTGAAGGGCACTTCTCTGTCCCTCAGGGGGCCCCAACACAGCATGGAGCTTACTGGCCGTATCTGTAGAGGGGCTGATTTTCCTCCAAGCTGGGCTCATGTCTTTGCTTCCTTTATGTTGCCCTACAGTGCCTAGATGAGAGCTGGGTACACAGTGGATAACAAGACCTCTCTTTGGCCCACTGCTGGGCAATCTTGTGAGAACATTCAGGGCTTTTGCTCATTCTTGCTAGGTTTAGTGGAGCTGCCCACTTGGCTCCCCCAAGGTTAAGATATTTTTCTGATTCTCATTTCTGCCAAGGTGGTGACTTTAAAATCTAAGTATTCAGGCCAGGCACGGTGGATCATGGCTGTAATCCCAGCACTTTGGGAGGCTGAGGCAGGCATATCTCCTGAGCTCAGGAGTTCGAGACCAGCCTGGGCAATATGGCAAAACCTCGTCTCTACTAAAAATACACAAATTAGCCAGGTGTGGTGGCTCATGCCTGTAATCCCAGCTACTCAGGAGGCTGAGGCAGGAGAATCGCTTGAACCCGCGAAGCAGGGGTTGCAGTGAGCGGAGATCACGCCACTGCACTCCAGCCTGGGCAACAGAGTGAGACCCCGTCTCCAAAAACAAACAAACAAACAAACAAAAACTAAGTATCCAGGCAAAATCTGGTAAAGCTACTCCCCGCTGCACACCCTGCACACGTGGACACAGGCCTGCCAGCTCACTGAGTCTCCACACACGGCTCCTCTAGGTGGCCCCCAAGTCTTGCCAAGGCTTCTTAAACAACAGTCAGCCCTCTGTGTCTCTCTGTCCTGGGCCTCCCTGGGAAACTTCCCTCTCTCTCTGTCCCAGTCCCCTCCCACGTCATCCCCGTCACCCCTACAGCCTCTTTCTGCTTTAACTAGGTCAGCTTAGCTCAGCCTCTTGTTCTCATCTCTCCTATCTGTCTGCTGCCTCTCTGGCTGAGGGGCTGCCTCCCTTCAGGCTAGAAGAGGCTTGTCATGTGGGCCCAGGGCAGGGAGTTTTCAGATACCGCTGCCAGAACAGAACATGATGATCAAAGGAGGAGCTGGGTCCAGCCAATGCCTCCCACCTGCAGCAGCTCCCAGGCTGAGCCTTTTTGAAAGATCCCCCTAGTAGAGAAGGGGAAAATAGCCTTTTAAAAAAGAATCACAGGATCCTAGATTCTGAGAGCTGCAGCCAGAGCTGAGATCCAGGTTCAGGCTATCTCTGGAGCCCCAGAGAAAAATCTTTTTTTTTTTAGATGGAGTTTCGCTCCGTAGCCCAGGCAGGACTGCGGTGGCGCGATCTCCGCTCACTGCAACCTCCACCTCCTGAGCCCCAGAGAAAACTCTAAAAACATAGTCCTTTCTTTATTCCTTTGATCCCTCTGAGCCACTGTTCTGAAGGGTAATCACATCAAAGAATCTCTTGGTTGCAAAGATCCTTAGAAGGTTCCTGACGAATTTGGACTGAGGGTGGGGGATGTATCCCCTAGGCTTATCTAATTAATTTTTGGATGTTTTGCTGATTTGAAATAGTTGATGGCACTGCTTCATTTTTTTTTCTCAATTACATTACTTTTTTTTTTTTACTTCATTTTTTGCTTTGCAGAAGGAATCAAAGGAGGAAAGAAAATAAAGCTAAAAAGTACATTTTTTAGCTCCCCCTGCCCCACCCCGGAATCTGTAGTGATACCCTGTGCCTGTCTTACTGCAATTGCCTCTGGCTCTCTGAAGCTCCCAAAATGTACATGGATCACACCAGCCAAACCAACCAATCAGCCACCAGGATTTGGTGCAGACGAATCCTAAATGGGTGATTTCTCTTCGTCTTATTCATCTCTGTATCCTCCACGTCTAGCCTGCTGTCTGGAACATAGTAAAGTTTCCCCTGCTGCTCTGCGTTCCCTCCACCCCCGGCCTCAGTGACTCATCTTCCCACGGTGGCCACCTCTCTCCCCCACTCTGTTGTGCTGCTCACTGGACTCCAGTGGGTGGTAAACTATATCCTTTATTCTTATAGGCTACCTCCTCCCAAACTGCTTCCTTCCTCTAAATGACACCTGACTATCCTTCAGAGATGCTGCTTTTCTCATGTCCTTCTCAATTGGAAATTTCTTCATCTCCACACCAAAGTCCCATGGATGGGCAGAGAGAGCAGCTTTCTTCTCGCTCTTGATTCCCTTGCTCACTGTGATCTCCTCATCTCCTCCATCTTCAACCAAAACCGGCTCCAACAGACTCCATCCCTCCCCATCACTACTGATAATCTTTGACATTTCAAGACAGCCGTTCTTAACACGGGGTTCATGGACCTCCTAGGTTCTGTGAATAGAATTCAGAGGATCTGTGAACTTGGATAGGAAAAAAAATACATCTTTTTCACTAATCTCTAACTGAAGTTTAGCAGTTTCTTCAGCTACAGACATAGGTAACAATCTATAGTAATGTTAGCAGTACCTGTGATTTCATAACCAATAGAAATCACTGATACCATCATTTCCCATTCCAGTTGTTGCAAATAGCTCAAAATGGCATTCATACTCATTACATCCAAATTCTGATAATTATTAAGCCTGCATATAGATATTATTACTTCCAGAATTGATAGAGAAGCACATAGATTACTAAGTCACAATTTTTAATATTTTAATAACTGTATTTTTGTATACTTGGTATATTTTAGGCATTTAAAAACACTATTTTGAGAATGAGCCCATAGGCCTCACTAGATTGCTAACAGGGCCAACGGCACAAAATAACCCCTGGTCTAGACAATAATTCTTATTCATTTTGGATAATGATATGTACTATGAAGATACTCCAATAGGATAATGGGATATACATGTGATTGAGGGTTCAACTACTTTAAATACAGTGATCGGGGAAGGCTTCTCTAAGGGTGTGACATTTGAGCCACAAGGATGAGGATGAGAGAGCCATGGAGAGATCTGGGCGAAGAGCATTCCAGGCAGAGGGAAGAGCAAATGTGAGGATGGTCCTGAGGCAGAAGCCAGTCTGACAGGTTTGAGCAATGGGAAAAAGGCCAGGGAGGTGGGACTTGGTGAACCCATCTTGAGTAAATTATTCACAGTAGCCCAAAGGTAGAAACAACCCAAATGTCCATCAACTGATGACCGGATAAAGAAAATGTGGAGGCCGGGCGCTATGGCTCACACCTGTAATCCCAGCACTTTGGGAGGCCGAGGCGGGCGGATCACGAGGTCAGGAGTTCCAAACCAGCCTGACCAACAGGGTGAAACCCCGTCTCTACTGAAAATACAATAATTAGCCGGGCATGGTGGCGGGTGCCTGTAATCCCAGCTACTCAAGAGGCTGAGGCAGGAGAATTGCTTGAACCCAGGAGGCAGAGGTTGTGGTGAGCCGTGATTGAGCCACTGCACTCCAGCCTGGGCAACAGAGCGAGACTCCATCTCAAAAAATAAATAAATAAATAAAATAAAATAAAGAAAATGTGGAGGCCAGGTGCGGTGGCTCACACCCGTAATTCCAGTACTTTGGGAGACCGAAGCAGACGGATTACCTGAGGTCAGGAGTTCAAGACCAGCCCTGCCAATATGATGAAACCCCATCTCTACTAAAAATACAAAAATTAGCCAGGCATGGTGGTGGGCACCTGTAGTCCCAGCTATTTGCGAGGCTGAGGCAGGAGACTTGCTTGAACCTGGGAGGTGGAGGTTGCAGTGAGCCAAGATTACACCACTGCACTCCAGCCTGGCCACAGAGCGAGATTCCGTCTCAAAAAAAAAAAAAAAAAAAAAAAGACTGTGCCTTATTTCTTAGTATCTCTGACACCTCACACTGTACTTGTCACATAGTAGACATTTAAGTTTATAAAGTGGGTAATTAGCCAGGCGTGGTGGTGGGCGCCTGTAGTCCCAGCTACTTGGGAGGCTGAGGCAGGAGAATGGCGTGAGCCCAGGAGGCGGAGCTTGCAGTGAGCCGAGATTGCACCACTGCACTCCAGTCTGGGTGACAGAGCGAGACTCCATCTCAAAAAATAAAAATAGGCTGGGCGCGGTGGCTCAAGCCTGTAATCCCAGCACTTTGGGAGGCCGAGACGGGCGGATCACGAGGTCAGGAGATCGAGACCATCCTGGCTAACACGGTGAAACACCGTCTCTACTAAAAAATACAAAAAACTAGCCAGGCGAGGTGGCGGGTGCCTGTAGTCCCAGCTACTCGGGAGGCTGAGGCAGGAGAATGGCATAAACCCGGGAGGCGGAGCTTGCAGTAAGCTGAGATCCGGCCACTGCACTCCAGCCTGGGTGACAGAGCGAGACTCCGTCTCAAAAAAAAATAAAAAATAAATAAAAATTTTAAAAAATAAAAAATAAATAAAAAAGTTTATAAAGTGGACTTGGTTTCCACAGCAACTTGGTTCTCAGTCTTGTGAATTCTCTCAAATCTGCCCCTCCTCTCTATCCTCAAAGCTTCTCTTCCTGTTCAAGCCCTCATCATCTCTCCCATCCTCAAGAGTTGCCCCTGACCTCCTTGTCCCCCTCTAGACATGGCCTTGTGTATTTCTCCCGGCTCAGACAAGTTTTCTTTTTTATCTCTTTTTCAGAGAT